TCTATCTATCTATCTATCTATCTATCTATCTATCTATCTATATTCTCCCCTTAAAAGCGGTATGTGTTAAATTGAGTATTTTCACCTTTTTAAAGTTGAATTCTTCAGCCCATGAGCATTTCTTAGGATTGGGAACATCATTGAACACAAACTTTTTCATTCTGGAAATAAAGCATTAGAAGAAATTCAGAACCAACACCTCCTATTAACTAAAATCAAGTGCATTTACGACTTCATTAGTAGTTCAATGTCATCCTTTTAATTGTTCATTATCAGTGTCTCTGTGCCATGAAATGTACTACAACCATCTATCATCTCTTAGTTGTGTTTGCATGCAAGAATAATTCCTTTTAGAATGGATCCTAAAAATGTACGCCAGGTAAAAATGTATGTGTATCAATAGAAGTAGAGGTTCTTACTGTTTTTGAGTCATAACTAGCATGAAAACCAGGAGGAAACAAAGTAAAAATATGAACAATGGCATCATGTAGGCCTCTGTTTCGTGTCTGGTTGCTGTAACAAAAATAAAAACAAATTATACATTCGATAAGACAATGAGAATGCTGCCAGTCAGTTTTGTGTGAGATATCAACAGAAGTCTGATCAGAAAGTATACCTGAAGTGAACACTGGCTCTCCTTCTCCATCAGCAAACACGGGGTACAAGTGGAAGTAATAATCCTTATAGTCGAAAAAATCTCCTGAAATGATAATCAAAATGGCTAACTGTCAACTTGATCAGGACAACTTACTACATGCTATTATAAGAAAAAGAGAATAATAACATAGTCTTACCTTGTAAATAGACAGAGGCATCAGTGTAGGGCAGTCTGACCCACACAGGGTCCTGTTGCTTCTTAGAGGACCACTGAACCACCAAGTACAAAGGAACAGAATGTCTGTCCAACAAGCTCCATGACAGAGACACACAGGTACTGTTAATAACCAGCACATGAAATGAGCGTAAACATGGGCCTGCAGGGCAGAAAAGGAACAACAGCATGTTAGCATGTGGCTTGGTAAGGTACAACCAAGATCTGGTGACATTTCTAACAGATTATAAGCATTGTTATGTTGATTTGTACAGATAAAACTGTATATGCAGGGTGATAAACCTCTAACTCAACTCAGCTTCCATTAGTACAGAGGAGTATCTGAGTCCAGACAGGCCCCAAAGGTGGAGACTCAAAATTCAATATTTTATTACCATTCTGGCTGTAGAGAAACGCAGGCAGATTCAACTCTGTGACTTAAAGGTTATTGTTTTAGCATCACTTTAGGATTGAAAAATGATTCAGGTAATTTTCTTTAGACTGAAAGTAAACTGATCAGGACACTTATTTATGTGTAAATTTAAAAGCAGTGGAAAATGACCAAAATGTTCCATTTTATGCCAATACGTTTGCCTGAAGCAGTTCAGAGGTTCCTTTGTAACTTCAGCAAGTATTAATTATGTGATGCGGTGTGCTCTAATTCTCTTCATACCTACCACTTTTTTTAAATGGGCCATTCCTTGTTTTAAAACCTAATTTTTAAAGGTTTAGTGATAAAGAAGAAGTAGACATGCGGGCCTATTAAATTATTAGGCTTTTGTAATACTTCTAGTAAATAGTTTTACACATGCTAAAAGATTTTTAAAAAATCTATCTTAAACCATCCTGTTGGATTTTCTGTATGACGTTTGCATGTTTACTTAATGTAAGTGTGGGTTCTCTTCATTTAGTCTGGATTCCATATAAAAGCATGCATGTTGGGTCAATTGGTTTTCAGATAAAAACTAAGATAATAAATCAGAAGTTGTGTTAATCCTTTGTAAGAGGCTATGTGGAATTGAATGAAATTGAATGACAAAAGATTCAGTAAGTAACTGCTGTGCACACATGCACAAATGAGATATTCATGTGTGAATCCTGCTGTGGCCACAAGTATTAAGGTTCTGCTGAATGTGTTGCTAGATTGCAGCAGGCTTATGGTTGAATTGTTGTTTGTCAGCCAATAATACTGGAAGCAAATGTTCTGCCAGGCTTTCGGGAAAAAGGCTTAGAAACGTCAGGAAAGCATAATATAATGATTAATAAAAACAAACAATTTTCATGGAAAAACGGTTCTTTACTGCATGTTAGTATTGTTTGTATGAGTAACTAGAAGCAGGGTTTACGTCACTACCATAATTATAATTGCTGCTGGGCCTCAGCGAAGGCTTTAATGGCTCTTTTTCTCTTATCTCACACATCCTTCTATGTGTTGTAAAGCAGGGTGGAGGAAAATTAACTTAACTAAATAAACTATTAATACAATGGGAAAGTCCTTTTCACATATACATTCATGTGTACTAAACATTTGTGTATTATTTTAGATAAGATTAAAACATTTAAACTCCTCCCAGTATCTAGGATGTCATTAACTTGAAATTGTATTCATAATGCTGATATTTAAATTAAACTCTGATTCACGCTCATTTGTCTTACTTGCGGTACCTGCATAGCATTTTTTGTGCAGTTTGTTTCTGTCAAGCATTGTCTCTCATTAGCCTCGACATATATCCATTAAAGATTCAAAGTTAGTTAATAAGTTCAGGAATTCATTGCACATCTGTATCAGTTGTAGTTTAAAACATATTTCTCAAAAAGCAGATATTTAGATTTGAGCATAATTCCGACAGCTGAACACATATCAGGTTCAGGCCAGAGTTGTGAGGGCAGATTTCCAAGCACTGCATCAAAATAACATTTCCTTTGTGATTGGTCAGCTATTCTGCCTCATCCCCCACTCACGCGTAGCTTGTTTTTCCAGCGTCATGTTCATGTTGTTAGTGGAGCTCCCTAGGTCGTTGAAGGCCTCTACAGTGACAGTCTGGAAATCCTGATCCCACTCAAAGCTATAGGAGGAAACTATATTGGTCTTTCTTTCCATCACAGATCCATTCCAGCTCTTGTGCAGGATGTTAAATCCATCCACACAGTAGGAGTCGCCAGAGACTGGGAAATCCTAGGAGAAAAAGCAAAACTAACTTTTAAACTCAGCAACCTTGGAGGTAATCATTAAAAAATAGCAAATTGTGTATTTGTTGACAACTATTTCAAGGTAATTGAGAGTTAAAGTGTATCAGGGTTTGCTACACAAATATCTTTAATAATCTGTTCTTTTTCTAGTCTAACTCAATAAATCCATCTGAGCCTTAGTTTTCCACGTGAAGGACTCACAGTGGCAGCCGAACTGAGTGAGAACAGCATTACCTTCAAGAAGAAGACTGCTGTTATGTGACATTACTGAGGAAGTGAACATAGAAAAGTAAAGATGTGTGTAATCATAATTACCAAACTCAGTCGTTAGACTGCAACAACTCCTAGGTTGCGAATCCTACTCACTGAGTGAACAGCAATTAGTGTTGCCTTAATCTTTCTTCAAATGACAATGTTTTATTAATGTAATGATTTCCTCCTAAATTGATGATAACATTAAGCCTACACTAAAAAAAATCCAAGCACAGTTCTATATAACAAGCTAGTGCACAAATGTTTACCTCAAACAGCAGAATTACAGAAGACTGCCTTCTGTCTGGGTCATCATGACGAATTCTCCAGAAATCAGGACCACGTTCAGGTGCTACGGTGACAAATCACTAGATTTATTAGCTTAGGATGAAGTCAGGTATTGTTCTCCACCAACACAGTAACGGCAGGTTCGGATCAGACTTATGACACTCAAATGACGCAGCATCTGTCAAAGCGCTTTTCAACTTTAATTCTGCAGTGAAATGATTTTACCTCTGCCGTTTTGAAGTGTGGACTTCACAGGTGTGCTCCAATCACTCCAGTATCCTTTCCTGCTGATGTGCATGCAGCGCACTTGAACTGTGTACTCCTTGCATTTGTCTGGTATCATAACTTCTCCCCAGATATCCTGAAATGAACTCTGGATCTGCAGATATAAAGCTCTTATGTTTAAAAGTTCAATCCAAATTTGATTTTATTCACAAAGCACAAACAAAACAGCATGGTTGAATCAAAACATAATCCATATTGATTGGTAAGTTTGTAACAATGAGGGCACATGCAGTAAAAAGCCTTTGATGAATAATCCGTGTGAGAAACTCACCTTCCAATCTTCTCTCTCAGTGGATAAGCGGTACTGAAACTCGCACTGGACGCCCTCGACTGGCAGAAGCGGGTTTGTCCAGGATACGTTCAGGACACCATCGCTACTGCTCACCGCCCTAACGTTTGTTGGTGGGTGAGGTTTCACTGTGGTGTGGTGGGGCACAGAATAGCACAGTGTTTGAGATTTCACTATTCCTGCCATGTGGGATGAAGCATCAGAGTTGCTGTTGAACATCCAATGAACATAATTGCAGCAAAATTAAAGTAAAGTTCATAGAATACAAAAACATGTTTATCTTTATGGTTAAATGGGTGATTTTTTTTAAATGTATCTTTTGAATTTGACCTGAAATCATTTGGCTCTGCTGCAAATACCTGACATCATGATATGAACTAAACAGACAGAAATAATTATTTATTATGTATATTTCAAAACAAACCCCAGGAGTCATAAACTGATGAATCAATGAGGACTTCTGCTATGGCATAATATAATGATGTTACGCTCAATAGACAAGCCACCTTTTAAATTGTAATGCCTAAATGATCAGTTTAATAAATGGTTTGGTATTAACGTGAGCTTCATCTCAAAATGATATGACAATGTGTGGTTAAATATATCTCTATGCTCACCATGATCCATAGGGGACACGAAGAGGGGTTTGGATCTGATTGGACCCCATGGAGATGGAATTTCCAACCATACTTTGTTGCAGTTCCGTTCCAAAGGTGTAATAGTACAGGTTTTCTGAGAGGTTCTGACCTCCAAGCATGGAGCTCCCATCACCCCAACATCTTCACCTGCTCTCTCTCTCTCCTCCATCTCGTTGCATGACATGATAGCCCACCTTCCCAGAAAAAAATGGACATGTCATGTTCCTCTTGGTCTTATGTCACTCAACTTTTTTTTTCTTTTCCTGTGATCAAAACTGGTGTAGATGAGACAATGCATGCCCAAGAGCACCCCCAAATGAAAAAATAATTTTAGGTCTGTTCATCAACTCCACTAATGTCCAAATGGCAAAAGTTGAACATATATATTCTTTAAAGTTTTATTATTTTTAAGCTCCTTAAAAAAACACATCAAAACATGGGTCAGAAAAACAACACTACTAAAATATTCTTGCAAACCATCATTCTGTCAGTCCCCAGTATATTCCATCGTTTGGTTCTTGATTTTTAAAGTAAAGAAACTTCCCACCCCAGTGAGGCTAGTGTTTATGACAGTGTTTATGTCATTAATTCAATCTTGGTGTCAATTCAAGAGCACATAAGTATTTCCGAGGTCGTCCAGTGCTCTGTGTTCTAGCACTTCCATGTTTTCCACACTTAGTGCCAAATGTTGTGGGTTTAATCAACAATGCTGCATACTCAGAGGACTGATTATCTGTGTAGACTTCCCCGCGGATAATTAAAGAAAATGTAAAAGCTGCTTTACTTGGACTGAAACTTGAGTGAGGTCATCTCGTTATTGCTCCACTTGCAAACCATGGCATCAATGTCACCATTGGTTGTGCACTTTATGTCAATGAACCCCCCTGGAAAACACAAAGAGAGAAGCATTTAAGTTTAAAGTGGCAAAATAATCTTCAACTAATGTGATCTCTGTGTGCTCATTTTTTGTGTCATTTTTTTTCTGCATTGTTGTGTTGTCTGTTCCTGTTTTTCTTTGTGGACAATATGATTTTGCTTCCTTTAGCTGAATGGAATGTTGCTGTTTGAGTCATCTGTACTGGTAATCCTTCAAATCATTTTCCCTTTTTACTGCACTTTTGCATTTATTTGTGCAAAACTCACCCTCCACAAAGATCTTGCTGTAAGGATAAGGATGGATCAGCTTTGGTGCACAAGTCAGCAGGTCATACATCCCAGCCTCTGGAGCCCGCAGTGTAATTTTACTGACCTGTTGGTAAAATGAAAAAAAGGGTCACATAGGCTGCACTCCTCTAAAGATTTAGAAGATATTGACTTAACATTTGGATTATTTTACTACCCATTGGTTGACTGGGTAGTACTGACGGCCATTAAGTGAGTGGCGGAGGTTTAGCTTCCATTTGGCCGTGCTGGCATTCCCGCTGTGGTCATTGAACACACAATACACCGTCACATTCTCCCCTGGTCTAGCCAGAGCTATTTCAGGGATGTAGCTCACAGCTGTACACAAAAATGAGACAGATCATTGTTTTTGTGAGGACCAGAGTATTGTATCCTTTATTATTTCCAGCACAGTAGATGTATTAGAAAAGAACTTGGAATGACTAAATGATAAAAACTTTTAGAAAGATAGATTTTTAATTCCCCACATGGTTTCCATTAAGATTTTCACAAATGAAGAAAACAACAAAACACATTTCTCAACTCATGAGAGATCACTGTTCTGCTAATGCTGGAAGAAGAGAAACATGTGTGATGTATTATTCCTGGTTTGTAGTACGACACCAGCACTTTTTGAGAGAACGAACAAAAACTTTCCAACCCCAAAGTCCTGAAACACTTTCTGTTTTTGGAGAATGTTCAACTGGCCCCCTAGGAAAATACTGAAACTCACTTTCAGTTAAATCAACTCTCAGCTGTGTCTTGCAAACTTTAACCAGTTAAAAGTACAGAGATAACAAATACACTATCAAGGATTAGTTACACATAATACATACATTCATATGTATTAAATACTACATACAGAAAACAAAGAAACCTCCCCATTGTTTTATGTAGGAAAATACATACATTTATACATATAAACTGCCCTCATGTAAAGGGAGGAAATGGTTTCTCTTACTGTTCAGGAGGATGTAGTGTGGCTCGCTCCATTGGCTCCACAGAGGAGGCTCCGACAGGCCAGAGCAGCGCACTTGGATTGTGTAGTTTAGGTTGGGCTTCAGATCAAGAGAAAGCTTGGGCTCTCCAAAAGCAGCCAGCACCTGAAGTGAGAGAAGGAGACTTACCACTAATACATACACTCACACACGTACAAGCTCCCCCGGACAACAGCATGCGGGTATGTACCTGCCAGGGTGAAGAGGTAGTATTGTAGGAGTATCGGACCTCATATCTCAGTGGGCCGGACACAAAGTCTGACGGTTGCTCCCAGGTGACAATCAGTTCTCCCAGATGGGTTTGATAGTCTGACAGGTTGACCGGGGGGCTTGGTTTCACTATAAAACAAGAGAAAAATCACACTAACGTAAAAGCCCTACAAGTCGTCGTCATCATGAAACTTGTTTGGTTACAATTTCTGATAGTGCTGTGAAACTGACACATGTTCTTTTATGGTTCAAAAAAGAAAAATAATTCATAACTCTAAAGAGTAAGAGTAACTCTCACTTTCACAAATGGAAAATATACATTTGTCAGAAATTTGTGCATGGGTATACTCAACAGTGTGACATTTGCAGTATATTGGTTTTAAGTTACATGGCAGGAAAAGATTTAACGCCTTTAAAAGCAATTTTCAATCCTTGAAGGTCAACTTCAATCATAACACAGAAGACACAATGAGCCAGTGTACTTGTGCAGGCTGACAAAAGAATAGAGAAAACAGCACGGTGAAAGCTAACCTTCCTATTTCATTTTTAGTTTATCTATTTATAGAAGCAATTCAGTTCAGTTTAGATTCATTTACATAGTGTCAAATCAAAAACAAATGTTTTTAGACGCATTTAAAAGAAACAGTCCAATTTAAACAATTTGTCAAAGTTTTCACTTATGATGCAATATTCTGGAGTCAATTCCCCAGCTTACCTAACAGCCACATTTTTGGACAAGGGGAGGAAACTAAGCACCACAGGGAAAAGAAACCGCAATCAAGCACACCATCATTTAATGTTTAATGATTTTCTTTTTTCTTTTACAAACGTGGAGAGCAAACAGATTTATTAAAAAAATCTTGATTGACATGTAATGAAATAAAAGTATAAATTAGGAGAACAATAAAATAATACCTGAAATTGCTTGTCTTTAACATCAAGTAATGAGCGTATCATTTCAAAAACAAAAACGCCTTACCTGAAAGGATAAAAGTTCTAGTTGTGACACAGCATTAAACCCAATAAGGGCCAAACCAAAAGAACAGCAGTGAGCAGAATGGTAAATCTGGATTGTGTATCATTTCAGAGAGCTCACAGTTTGACTGTGGTCGTGCACACAGACACACACAATGTAATGGTTCAGTTCCTTTCAGCTGTATATTCCATTCACGTCTGCCGGTAACTGCTGAAAACGAGCCTGCTCTAACCTTCTCTGCTCATACCCATTGCTTTAAAGCTGAATGATCTGGTAGAAAATAGCAAAGCTTCAAACACAGAGGCTCTGAAATCATCTTCATGCAGAGACCGTTATGATCTCAGAGACCGTGACCTCGGAAAACATGTGATTGCTGGGAACTTGCTTCTTTGGTCTTACTGTTAGGAATTTTTCCACCCTTATGGGCTATTTCCCAAAAATGTCCCACATGTTATAACCAAGTAGGTAAATAAAATGCTTAAATAATCTAATACCCTCAATGAAATAAACACTGCCACCCATTTCTAAACAGGTGACTAATCAACTCTAATCACTTCCATCCTTGTGAATTGTTCCCAGCTGTACCACCTGTACCATTTTTGTGGATAATGTTACCCAGAAACTCTCAATATCTGTTGAAGACTTATATTGTATTATATGATATCATATTAGATTATATTAGATTATATTAGATTAGATTTAACAAAACCATTCAAACATTTGTTGAGTTTTGCATTTAAAACTTCACGGAAACATCTAAAAAATGCAGGGAAGTGCCCCTAAAGTATCAGATATGGAGATGGCCGCTGTAGGATCAGCTGGGGCCCGTTCAAATTTGCCATATGCACATGATGCTGTAAGGAGCTCTGTTGCCTCACTTCAACGCCTTTAAACAAACTTCAAAGTGTGCCTGGAAATCATTCATCCGTGGTAAAAATCCTCAAGCATGCCTCGATAAAGTCTCCATAATTGACTTGGATACCACTAAGATATGCTCTCTATTGTTTGTTTATGGTGTTATAAAGATGGATGAGCAATGCTAACATTAGCGATGGGTTTGCTTTTACTTGAGTCCCTCTTGCTGCCATGGCAATTCAGAATGTGTTGCATTGATATTCTATGTTGTTTACTCTTTGGGTGAGGGACCTGGTGTCTGTGAGGAGCATACTCTGATACGTGATTTCAGGGATTGTTTCCATAGCCACAGAGTACACTTCTTCTGCAGCCCTGCTTCTACTTACCGTCTCCTCCACCTGTACTTAATAAAACCAACCAGAGTCACACTAAAATGCTGCTTTTGCTATGTTGAAGAGTACATTACAAGCATTCTCATAGTCTGTTGGTATAACTAAACGACATGAAAATCCACAGTTTAAGACCCTGTTAGCTGTAAAAATACTTTATGTGATGAAGAATGAATGTACCCTAAAAATACACAAAGATGCAACAAACTGGAAAGCAAAAAGAAGCTGCATTCCAGCGTGCTGGACTCTCTTGTACCTCACAGTCAGATTTGTACAAGACAACAAGCATGACTCAAAAGTACCAAACATTTTTGGAATTGCTTTCCTACCAGGTCTGTCAGGAACTCTGAGGAGAACTGGTTGAGCGATGGCACTGGAGACACTGGCTGTTACTATGGCGACACCGCTTGTTGCAGGCTCAAGAGCAAGTGAGCAAATTACAACATCCTCTGCTTCACAAGAAACAGTGCCAACGGACGCTGAATCATTCACCTTTGTCTTTGTGTTGTCTTTCTCAGATCTGCAAACAGATGCAACAGTGCGTCAGGCAGCGTTTTTGTAACAATAGTTCATTTCCCAGCATGATTTTCAGTTTAAAACAAAACTTGTTCTGTTGGACCAGAAAAGCTATATATAATGGTGTGTGAATCATTCTGTACTCATGTAATCTTACCTAAGATCAGGGACTTCAGGTCTGTGATGATTTAGTTAATGATTGATCTTTTACTTCTTACAGTCTTCTTTCATGTCCTAAGTTTGTTCAATGTTCTTAGTAAGTCCTGCTTTCTATTCCTCCTGTGCATCTGGATTCTGTTAAATGCTAATGGTCACGACCTGTCTTGCCCTTATTCAGTGTGTCAGTCAATCTTTTACAATTGTTCCATTATTTTCATATTCTCCTGGTAAGTGTGTGGTAAATGAGTTTTGAACAGCCTGGAGCTGATCTAACACCGGACATCTCTCCCTGCTGATCAAAGTAAACAGGTATTTAAGCTAATGAGCAGCCCGAAAAGAAGAGGGAAGACAAAGGCCTGCCTCACACAGACTGGAAAAAGTGGAAAACTACTGAAACAATTAGAGGGAAACATACTCACAATTGCTGGAAGCTGACTGCGATGCGACCAGCGTTCGCAGCACCAGATGGTTGGCGGTCAGACTTAAGAGCACAAGTTAAATGAGACCAGCCGTCACTAACTCTGCACAGAATGTCCAAACAGGTCCCTAACAAGACATTTCATTTACATGTTAGATGACTGTAAAGTCAAACAGAGGCTTCTGAGAAAACAGTCATGATCAAAAGTCTGAGAAATTAGAAGGACTCCTGTTTGCTGGTGCAAATAAAAGATCCACGAGCAAATGAATCAAAGAGAGCAGCCAGTGTTACGTGTTACAGTGTTACGCATGGGAAGAATTCTCCTTAGAAGTCATTAAAGTGTAATGAGCCTGTCACCCTGACCTTTGCAAGCTTTTTCATCAGGGCTAACATAGCATGCTAGACAGCTTGCAGCAAGACCGCATGAGGCAATTACATCAGCAAATAGGAGTCATACGTAAAACCTTACCACCATGGGGGTTATGAGTCAGTATTTCATCTGTCCGGCTCTGGAGCACGCAGCCTGAACTTTGTTGGAGGAATGCTTTGGAAGAGTTTGTGTTTGATTCCTTCGTGCTGCCTTCAGCCACACCAGGGTGCGCAGGAGGATGGCCACAGCACAGCGTGTCTCTCCAGGGGAGGTCAAAAGCCCCTGAATGAGGAGAGGCTCCAGCTTCAGGCTCCAAACACCAAGTTCCTGCTCACAGAAAGGCAGGGAAGTAAGCCAACTTTACCATGATGACAGAGAGACAAGGAAAACCAACTGCCAAGAATTCTTTCCTCTATATCACCTGATTATTTTTTATTTTGCACATTTTTACAGTTTAACAGTTTTATCTATAATTGAAAGAACAACAAAACTGTCTCCCAGTCTGAGCTGGAACATTAACACCACTACCGTCATCATTAGCTTTTGAGTAAATGTGAATGTGAGTCAAGAAAAATGATCACATCACAGTTTTTTTTGTTCGCCATTTTTTAAACAAGGCCAAAACAAAGACACAATCGTTTTAGTTCTGCAACTAAACTAAACAAAACTGAAATCAAATTATCTTTAATGGAGTTTTGTTTAATTTTTAAATCGATGAGTAGATTGTAGGTTCTCATTTGTATTCTCATCAATGCAGAGAGTTTGCTAAATCTGGAGGATGGCAAGCCACATGACACGAGGTCGCAGCTGTTGTGTTGTACTGGACACTCACCACAAGGCAACAGGGAAATGTTGATTAAACAGGTAAACACCAGTGACCGAACCCTATAAAAGAAAAACGCACAGGAGATATAAAAACAACAGAACATCAGCAATGTAGAATGTCATCAGTATTGATCTAGATGGAAAAATAAACTAAGTTTCCACTTTTTACACAATAAATACTGACCAAGTATCATTATGCAATATTTTTGTAAAAACTTAAAGGGGTTTTGTGAGAATCTGCTACTGGGTGTGAGAAAATATTTTGCTATTACCAAGGTATCTGAAATAAGCTTCCCACAGCACATGTACCTATGGGAAATCCCTGCATGGGAACTTTGCATGTAAAGAACTGTTGTCAACATTTCAATGGATTTCATGATTCACAACCCATAAACTCACGAGGGTTTCAGGTGGTTCAAACCATTTTTCAAGATTTAAACACCAATCCAACATTTTTCATGGACCATAACATAACTGAATAACTCTACACAACCCCTTTTAATTTTTGTGCCTGCAGGAAAGAATTCCACTTTCACGTTCCACGTTTTTTTAAAGTACGATTTTTCTTTAATGTCCATTTTTATCTGATTTCCATTTTTTTACTGTATCTTTTTCCCTACAAACCTTTAAAGAGATAATTCTGCCTCTTACTGCAATAAGAGGATGCTGGCAACCAAGATCAGTGCAAACCTCATTTAGTGACCCTGGTTCAACACAAGAAAACCATTAGCTTGAACATCACAGTACTTACATTGTGTTCATTGCCGTGTGAGCTGGCGTTGAGCTGTGATGAACCTCACTGGAAACACACAGAGCACAATCAAAGGTTTTGCTGGTCTCATGAAGCTAAGTGGTGTATCTCCCCTCATTGTCTAGAGTTTAGACTTTATTACCGCTACACTTGTCTCTTCTATTTTCATTCCTCTGGGTCAAAAAACATTTTTGAGTCTATAAGTGTGATCCCAGTTCTTTAAGACCAATTTCCTCCACCTTTAATGCCTGAGGAGCCTTATCAGATGTTTCTGCCTGCCCCTATATCTATCCTATCCCTTTCCTTTGTTGATATGAAAGTTCTGCCTATACCACCAAACAACAGTTTTAAAAAGAATCTTCCCTTTTAATATCATTCTATGTCTTTTTTTTTAAGCGAGGCCAACGGGGACTTGTAAAATAAGTCTGAAGCGGTATTACAGACAAGGATGAGCCCAGCAGATTGCAAATGCTCCTGTGTGAATGGTGGTAAAGATTAACTAAGCCTTCCTTAGAGTCTGTGTTAGTGGCAGCTTTCACTTCTGATCAGAACACCTCCAACTCTTTCCCCACACTGATGAAACACCAGGGTTGCTTTTCATTTAGACAGATAGGCAATTCACTAGCACAACAGCTTAATGAATGGAACAATTGCTTTGCGTTTAAGAGTAGTGAGACAAAAACAAATACATCAGCTATATTTACACAAAAAAAACTGGAACAGCGCATTCAGGATGATTACTGTTTGAGGCTAATTTGCAGAGCAATATCTCAACATAGCAAAACTTGACATGTAGATGATGATCTGCTTAACACCACACAGATGTGCTTAAATAATTAATTAGTCTTTGGATTTTAGGGCAGCTCACCTGCATGAGGATTGCCTCCAGATAAATAATTAAATTATGGGCAGAAGCTCATGTTCTCAAGTACGGTACATCCCTGTAATCACAGTCAGATGAGCAAAACAAAGCCTAATGACTGACTCTAGAAACACTGTGCTTACCTACCATTGGGTATTATTCTAAGCAATCACTTATCAAAGAATAAAAAATGAAGTAGTGTTTTATTTCCAGCCTGAACCAAAACAGATATTAGATGACTGGGATGGATTAACTATGAGGTTCTTATCTTTAAGTCAATCTTGGAATCTTTATCAAAGTGTGAGACACAATTTGAAAATACATATATACATGTATATATAATCACATTAAGTCTTTACCTTTATGTGATTATTACGGTGGATATGGAGGTGAGGCAGACTAGAACAAGATATGCGATTGCTTTTATTTTCAATTCATCAGTATTCTGAGTCACTGTTCCACAGTAAAGAAAAAAGGGCTTGGCTTGGCTTGTTCTCCCACACACCCACATTGACAGAGAAACGGTTGATTAAAAGATTTGGGATTTTACAAGTACAACAGGATGTTTGTCCCACTAAGATTAAGAAATATTGTTGTTTCAGGAGCTTCATAAACGTTTTGCCTCAGTTATTTTGAGTATACAGCATACTATATTTTACTTTGGTTCGAGGGATTTGTTCCCTAAAGAATTCTACTCATCTTTGTAATGTTACCTTTGATGTTGTGCTACTATCACTACACTTTTGGCTAAAATTATCATTGCTGTTACACATTAAACCGGTTTCCCGAAAAATCTGACACTTTCACCGTCAACATGGAGAGATAAGAGTATGTTCCAGGCAATACATTTATAGATTAACCTAAAATAAACAAACTGATGAAGACATTAGATTAGATTTTAACGTTGGCAAGGAAGCTTTGGTATCTAAAAAGAATGCCGCTATGTGTTTAATCTGATTGTCACAGTATAAACAGAGCCCTGCAGAGCCCCTAGAATAACAGAAACACAACTACGGACCCAAAGAGAGAGAAAAACATGTAATCTCATTACTTTATTGATTCATTTAGAGTCAGCCGATTAATAACAACATGTTAATCAAATCTCATTGGCTAAGTAATTTTTTATCTTTCAAGGGATCAGGACAAATTATACACAGCGGCAGTGTCAGTAAGACGTGGATGATTTGGGATTATTCCAAATTGTGCGTAAAAAGAAGATGCTCGTCAATTGGGACCAAGTCCACAATGAATCAAAAGTAATAAAACGTATGTGAAATATTGTGACAGGTCGAGGACCAGCTTCACGCTACTTCTTTTTTTTTTCTTTGGTAACGGATCAATCAAACCACCTGAAACTATTTCGCACTTGCTGACCTCAAACGTTCTCAGCAGCATCTGGCGGTGACTCACAGCCTGAGGCGCGCCGGGGCTTGTCAACGCTCAAACCGTCCCATCAGATGTGACACAACTGACCAATCCTGACAAAGCCTTCGCTTTGAGGATTATTTATCCACTGATAAGTTATTATCAATCAGAAAAAAAGTATGTCAAGTTTGTTACAACAGCCCCTGAGCTGAAAAGTTTAAAAGGAGCAAGGAAAAAAAGAATCACCAAAAATGACAACACCAGATATGTAAGTATTTAGAGGGTTCTCACGGCATGTGGTGGTTTCCCCATCCGCGTATCCTTCCTCTGGGTTGATCGGACTCTAATGATCGTCTCTCTCAGTGGATCAGAGGATCTCCCTCCAAACATCGAGCTGCTGCCTCTCCCGGTGACGCACCAGTCAGCTGCGCCTCGGGCGTGAGGAGGCGAGGCTGAGTGGTGGAGATGGGCTGAATGGTGGAGATGGGGAGGAGATGGGGAGGAGAGGACGGCCCAGTCCGCCCTGCTGCTTTCAGGACACCTCCGCAAATTCCACGTCATTGAAAGATGAAAAAAAAGAAGATGCACAGTCGATCGATGAACACACCTGTTCGCTTTATTAACACAATCATCATTTCCCAGGCAAACATTGTGTATTTGTTTCTTATCTATCATAAAACAACACGAAAAATTCCAGATGAAATGTTAATGAGTAGTTTGACATTTCTGAATTAGTTGCGCAAGTGACTGCTTTGGGGGAAATAGTCCTTTATATTACTTTAGAGGAAAATAACACAACATAAGTCTACACGTCATCATGTGGTGTTTGGTGTCTATAATATGACTTGGCTTATTTGTTCATTTGAGAGTTATTTTAACTGCTAGAGCACAAAGTATCAAGGCACATGAAGCTTGTGTCTTTAAAAATCACAAACTTCCATATGAGCTACTAAATTCTGGAAACTACCAACAGTTATGGGGCTGCTAGTCTGCCTGACTCCATTACCTTATGCAAAGGAACATTTCTGCAATCTGCAGAGCGTCAGAACTGACCATCTTTGTTTCAGGTGCCCGCTACAGCATGTTGTTTTTGGATTAAACCTATTTTACCCTGACCTAAAAATCTGAATGTCTCCTATTCACTATTTAGTTGGAAAGAAGTCTCTATTAAGAACAGCTTACTTTCCCTAACAGGACCCAGACAGTACAGTTATGTCAATGGAAAGTCTGTTTCACTCTTTTTCAGATGTCACTGCATGCTGCTGACACAAACTCAATATTGGATCAGTTCAACTATGAAAACAGATGATTATGCTTGCAGTGACTCACTCGCAAGAACGAACAGAGCAGAGCCAGCCTCTTTTCTTTGTTTCTGTTCTGAAAATATTCTATTAACATTTCAGAGTAATCTCAAAGTAGTTTTGAAATAACTAAATACATTTTGAAATAATAATCCAAATCGGTGTGCTTATTCCAAATGAATTGATTACAGGAGCATATATTAGTTTTATACACATTACTTATTCAGTTTTGTATGAGATGGTTCAACTCATTCTTTATAATTAATCAAGGCAAAAAAAGGTTTGTCTGTGACGCTTTGTTTAGGTTAAACCAAGTTGCACATTTGCAAATACATTAACTCATATATGGGTATTTATGCTGATGTGATAAGTGAAGTAACAATCTCTCACAAGTTGCTCAAACTATTGCACACACACATATTAACAGTATCTTGGTAATGTGGGGTATCTTTTCCAAATTACCAGAACAACTGGAAAAGGCAAAGCCAGACATTTAACCATCAACCCTGCAACTTTCAATCAATGATGATTATGAAGAAGTCACCTGTTTGCAGATAATTTAAAACATATGTGCCCAACACAGTCTGTGAACAATATATTTTAAAACCAATCCCTACATAAAGAGATGTCCCGATGAAGAAAATAACAGGCACGAAATGGAAATCAGATGTCTTGAGTGTATGTGGTTCCCTCAGCTGACAAAAAGTTACCGTGTCCTTTAAAAGATTAAAAGAAATGAGCTAAAGTAAATTACTTTAGATAGAGAGTAACAGATAATTCTGCAGTTACAAATTATATAAGAAAAATAAAGTCATATTCAGACCCTTGTGTGTCCTCCAGGGGCCATTCATACCTGATTCATACTTTGGGTTATAAGGGTTAAATTTACAATCAGCTGATGGATATTTAAGCTCAGTGTGCTTACAGGTGGGTGGTAGAGTAAAACAGAAGCTATAAAGCAGAGATGTCTATGACATAATTGTACCCTTTCGTAGAATTGTCTGTGTGAATTGGAGGAGCTCAATTGCAAATGAATTCCCTCATTCTGCGTCACGATGGAGACACGTCACACTCATTTTACAACCTGCAGATCTTTATTGAGACGGATTATTCTTATTACTTTAAGCAGCCCCACATCCCTTTGTCAACGAATATTGCATTATGGAAGCTGGAAGAAACCGTTTCTACACACATCCAAAATACATGCAGTGAAAAGAAATAACACATACGTTCATCGCCCCTAAAAACCACAATAACAGGAAGCCTTTAACAGCTTTGCAAAAGAATTGATGGCAGCTGACTTCACATTGGTTCAATGAACAGAAAACGGATACTGGTGGTAAGTGATTTATACTTTGCAGGACCATTGCAGGGGGTGGTACATTAAGTTAAAGAAAAAGGACTACAATGACTTCTACTTTTTACTGTGATTGATTTATACCTTTTTATAATGGTACAGTCTATTAAAACTGTTCAGGCGAAATTACTCATGAATTCACCATACACTGGTGCTATCAGGCGCTCTAAAGGTGGTATCAGGCACTATTGATCAGGCTTAGATGTGAGGCAGCCTCAGCAGCGTCACACAGAGCACACATTCAAAATGCAGGATCTCATTCTCCCCTCTGATGAGCACATTCCACAGAGTGGGCAGCATGACATCATCCCCTTGGTATGCACCCCTTCATGCCTGGATGTATATGTAAGTGTTCTTTAATGATACTAACATTGTGCTTTGGGTTTTACCTAATCAAGTGCAATAGTAACAGCTGTCTCAACATTTAAACCCTTGCTCCAAATCGTTAAAATCATTATAAGGGGAAACCATATAGAATATGTGACAAAAATAAAGGGATATTTATATTTAAAAAAATAAACTTTTAGACAACAGATCATCAGCCCTCTAGTTTAAACAAAATCTAAGTATTGTGCATTATTTTTCTCTCATCTCTCCATCTGTAATAATTTATTAAGTTCTGTAGATTGCTGGGGTCACTGAAAAGGAATGATGTCATCTCTACTCTCCCATTCACTATGCCTGCACTATGTTTTTCTTGGAGACTTAGTGTTTGTGGTTTTATTTGCATTAAACAATATTCATTGTTCACTGTTTGTCAGATACTGTAGGAATGTAATTAAACACAATTTTACTCGTTTATTAGTTGTGAATGCAACACCTGTTTTTATAGAACTCATCAATGTCCACATGACAAAAGTCAAAACTGAGATTTTTATCAAACATAGTGAAAAAATAACTACACCAGACTGGCTTGTGCTAGATGCTAGATGTTTAATTTCTTCTTAACAGCGCAGTAACGGAGAGACTAATTCTCCCATCTTTTATGCAACATTAGAACTTAGAGTCGAGCATATTATTTGAATTGTTTTTAAGTTTATTTAAATACGTTTACCCTAGATCCTGGAAAGGCGATGAGAGCAGTTTTCATTATATCTGGTCTCTGCTGGTTTTCTGTGTGAAAGCATTCAGATTCCATTTGAAAGAGGCTAAATGAGGCCAGAACAGAGCCAAAAAGGTCACTCGTTAGCCTCCTGAGACCCTGCATCCTACTGTTTTGCTCTCTGTACCAATATACTTTATACATTTTTGACATCATAATCTTGTTGTGTGAGAAAACTTTAAAGACTGATTTAAACGAAAACTGTTTTATTATGGGGTCATTCTGGAACTGAAGAAAGTGGACCAACAGTCAGATGTGTCCTCACAGCTGACCAGTAGAAAAGTGACTGGAACTAGTGAGTTCAACCTGAACATTACACATCAGGACATATTGTTTACATTACATTGATTTTAATCCCAACAGTCTGTATCTTTACAGTTAAGAGTAAATCTTTTCTTGTCATGTGGTTATCATTGTTCTTAAAATCTAATGTTTATATTATCATTGTCTGTTTTCATGTGAGGGCCAGGACACTGCAGTGGACATCCTTATTTCCACTGGCAATTTTCCCACACTGTAAACATTCTTGTTGCTGAGAATGACAAGAAGTTGTTTGTTTGAAAAAAATAACAAGACACACAACCATGCACACACACTCTCACACCTATGGTCAATTTAGATTTGTCGATTAACCCAAAATGAATGGCTTGTGTGGGTGGAGGAAGACAGCAAATATATATTTAAACTGGTTTGACGGGATATCTCTGTGTCACTAAATCAAGTATGACTTCAGAAAGACATCAACTTATTGACATATGTTCTTTCTCCATAGCTTCTGATGAATAGATGAAGTTGTATATCACAACACAAATGGAATGGAATTGGATCTTTGAGGCAAAATGGATCAAAACCCACTTGGCCATCACAGATGGAGCTCCTACGCTTAATTCAATTTATCTTACTATCAATAACGCAAACCAATTGTCAAAAACATCTGGAAGACATAAAGGGCTCAGCAAGTGCCCAATCAGAAGAAGACATATTATTTACAGATGTGAAAAGATATCTTTTCCAATTGTGACACAAGCAAGGATCAGTGACAGAGAAAAACAGGCTATGGGGGCTGAAATGAAGATTCTTTGTGCTTCCTTGTGCTTCTTTATCCTGTCTTTACACCTCCACTGGCCTAATCACACTGCCCACGGCAATCTGCATGGGAGGCACTAACACTTTGTTTTTTGTGCAACCTCAAACGCAGAGTCAGAGGCAGATAGAGTAACTCATAAAACCCAAATCCCCGCTTCTCTCTGGGGTAAGCCTGGCATGCACCTACAGACACACAATGACACATTCAACCGCTCCATCCCACATTCCACACCAAGTCAATTATGAGCTCAGACCGCCAACGGTTCATGTTCCCCTATGAGACACAAACACGGTTATGGTGGAGTGGGCCTCATCTTTCCATCTCCAATGACAGAAGAAAATATGAAAATTATTATAGATAAAAAGCTCAAATAGAGAAAAAAAGTGCTGAAATGCACCAGTGTTGTTCGTCATCAGATGTTATTACATTAAACCTCGTGAAAGGTCTCCATCCAACCCAGAAAATAGAAGAAAGATGGGGTTCTGATCAGTTAACACAAGTCAAACATTTGTTTTTGAAAGTCTTCTGGTGGTAATCCAGGAAAAATACATTTTACAGGTCAAAATGTTGACACTGCGATAATCTATGGAATGATTTTCTTAGAAAAAACAAAAAAAAGGATTAAATGTTGCAGTTTCAAATGATGAACTATCTAGCTTGCTCAATGCCTACGTCTACGTTTACAAAGTCAGAATATACTACCTTTGTTATTACTTATGTTAATTGTAGAAATGTTAAATTGTGTGTAGAGGAATGCATTACGGTGAGGAAGGTTGTATGTGCATAGACAGTTTAAGTCCAAGCTGAACCAATATTGCTCATTGACCTTTCACTTTTTGACTCTCAGTCAGTTCCAGTCGCATTGGCTCAGACAAAAACTTTAACCATAGCCTGGTCATGGTTAGATATTGATACAAATATTTTCAGGGTTAAAGCACAAAAATAGTAATAGTAAAAATCATGGGATTTGTCTTGGTTTGTTGCAAAATTGCCCAAGTGTCACTCTGCATTTGCCATACCAGTGTCAAGTTAAAGCCTTTTTTTGGTGACAGATTGAACCAAGGTAAAACCAGACGGACGTATGGCAGATGCCGTCAGAGAAAATATTTCAGACTGGTTGAGATCTCCAAACTCATCCTAAAATTTGGAAGGACATATACAGTACTTATAGAAAGCTGAACATTTGTAACATCGAGGTAAAATGAGTGATATTAGACAAAAATGGCTTAGGTTGACACAGATTCAATTTACAACATGAAGCCCACATGAAAACTTTATATTTTTGTTTGAGTTTCTCATGTCACAGAGTCCAAAAATAACTTCATGGGGGAGCCTACATTTTCATACGTATCTGATACTATAGAGCACAATTGGACAGGTTTGGACAAGATCCCCAAGATTTACTCATAAAGGTAATACAGTGAGCTTAGAATTTGTCCGAAGAACTTTAAGGAAAGCTTGTGCACTGCTGACCGTACTGAACATGAAATCTTTTTGTAAAATAAAAACTTTACATGTAACAGTAGTGATTAATTGAACCACATCTATCTGATCTTCTGTTCCAGGTATATAACTTTTCTTCTGAAAAGCTTCTCCAATGTATTTTCTTTGGCGTAAATTCAATTATATGTAAAGACAAAACTTGCCTGCTACGTGTTCCCATTTGATACAACAGGTTGTAAAGTTTCGAGTCAACACTCTATGAAAAAGCTGCATGAACAAATCTCATTCAACTGCCAAACTTCTGACGTTAAAGTCAGATTACTTAAAGTAAATGACTTTCAAAGATAAAATCATTCAAACAATCATTCTAAATACAAGACTTTACACTCATCCATCCTCCCTCGCGCCTGATAATGAGGAGGATGGAGGTGGAGAAACAAAAGAACAGAAGAGACATTTCACAAAAAAGATTCAAATTGGAGAAGCCTAAAAAGAAAACTGTCAGGTTTGGAAAGAAAAGAAAGTAAGACACTGACACATTTTATTCTATCAACGGAAACAGCAACTGAAGAAATATTCCTTATCCATCAACCATACAAATACACCACACGTATGTCTGATTCTCTGTAAACAAATTTTGGTATCTTGTATTAGGTGGCATTTGTGTCATGTTTGATTTATTTACATCCAATGTAATAATGAAAATGACTTACCAGCTTCCAAATACCGACAGACATGAAGAGTTAGTTTTTATACACCGCTGATATCCCGAACCTTTTTTAAAAACAAACGGGAAAGCGAAATACTGAAGCCAAGCAGGGAACGCTTTTATGTAGACCTGTGTGTCTCTGGGCATGTGGTGCTATTTTTGATGCACGGTGTCAGAATACAGACCGATCACTTACTGCCCTGAACACAAGCCAGTGTCCAGGAAAGTGTTTGTGTTCATCAACAGGTGTGTGTGCAGCGGGAACGGGAAAGGGAAAACCTGGAGGGACATTGTCTTATTTTGTGTCCGTGTATGTATTTATATTTGAGGGTGTAGCTGCTCAACACCTGGAGCAGGCCTTCTGTCAGTCAGTCATCAGCTCAGTTTTTTCCTTCACATTGGCTGTTATATTTGACCTCTGAATTCTTCTATCACTTTCCATGCAACAGCTGATGTTGACTCACAGTTTTAAGTAACTTACGGCAGAAATCTGGCTGACCCTTGCTGAGCAAGAACAGGCCAAGCAAATTTCTTAATCAGTGAGTCAGGAACAGAACTTTGTTTTTTTGGGATGGATTCCAGGTCTCCTTCCTCTTGACAGATCATTGTAAAAATTTGTTTTCCTTGCATACGACTGCTCTGTTTCTATATTTTTGACTCTTTGGATTTGCCTTATATTCAGTTTTGTTTATGAAGTTATTTTGTTCTGCATGCCATATCTTTAAAAAGCTGAAACACGATTGAAAATTTCATGTGAAGAAATTCCTGGAAGTGCACAGACATTTTTTTTACCAAAGAATAGCAGCAGTTTTGATAAAATGGAATTGCCATGGTAGATTATCATCACAGAAATATAGTGTTTTTAAAGAGAAAAGATTGAAAAAATAAATAAAATCATGCAATCAAACAAACAACAAGGACATTGATCAACAGACTGGTGAAGCAAACTGATTATTGGCTTTCTCCTAACTATTTGCTGGCTCTCGAGTCAAAATACATATCTTTAATTAGAGAAAAGCCCTTCAAGGTATGTTTGCCAAAAGGGAAAACTTCCAAAGAACATTTGTAACATTTTTTCAAGCCTGCTGTAAGTCCACTTAAAACCTTCCAAAATTCTTGTTGCATCAGACAGAACATGTTGTAAAGTGTTTTACTCTGTCAAGTTGCTACTTGACGAGATAGGAATTTAGATAAGGAATTGTATGACACAAGGCAGAAGAAATAAATCCAGAACTGATGCTCCATATGCCACTTGAAGGATCTGCAGTGTCACATCTCGACCTGACTGTGTTCAATTTAACTCATTAATACAAGGACAGGCCTTTTTTCTAATTTGATGCAGATTAGAAAATGTGGCATCTTTCACAATTTCTTGAGCCTTTCAGTGGAATTCAGCGCAGTGGTTCCTACAGTTAGTCTGAGGACTATTTGCCAGTAAACTACTTTGTGCTTCCTTGGACCCCAAAGGTTATTCGCAACAGGAAAGGATTCAATGACAAAACACATTATTGCAGAAACTTGTCGACTGAATGTGTTAAAATAATCTAGATTCATCTTAAAGAATCCAAAAATACGCACTGGCAAATATTTAAATGATAAAGTAACTAAAATTGCCTCAGGAAATAAAGTGAATTTCAAATATTTTTTTAGAAGTTTGTGTTAAAAAAAGATTTTCATTCCATATACTCAGAGTCAGGTACATAAACCTCATAATGACCCTTTCAGCTCTTCTAATAATCCTTTATGGTTTAGCAAGTTTGTGACTGAGTGTGTGTGTGGGTGTGTGTGTGTGGGTGGGTTATGCATGAACAAATTGACACGTAAGGAAAGGGTTGGAAGACCAGTTAGTGCATCCAAAACTGTTCATGTAGGGTTTGTTCCACTCGATTATGCAAGAGCAGTTCACCAACGTTTAAACACGTTTAAAAATGAAAATCTGAGAAACAGAGATTAGAGCCTTTTTTCTAAACATAAAGGTCAGTGAACACTGTGTCCCAGGGGACTTAAGTCAGAAGCCAGAAAAGACTTGAAAAATGCACAATGGACTAAACTTGCCCTCTTATAACAATGATAAGACTTATTTCTGGGTACAGAAGCCCGGTCATTTCTCGCACAGCGCTAATGTATTAAAGCGAATGCTAAACTTGGTGTTTTTACTTCTGTTCAAATACTGGAAACGCTGATCATCTTGTCAGTTTCCACTAAACTGTGTTTGCTGCCAATTCTCAGTTTTATACGTAGTAACTGTGTATCTATCAGTTATTTCCGGCAAAACACTTGACACACAATGTTTAATCCTTCATTTAATGATCACTCCATGGACAATATGTTGTCTATTTCATGAGTTCCCAGACTAAAGACATCTTCCAGGAGCCTTGAACATTTCCCAGCAGTTGGTTGCATGTAGGATGCATTCATTAAAAAGAGCAAGGTTTGATTATTAGCTGAAACGTATTTAAAAAATACAAAAAAACAAACATCATAACAGCTCAATTTCCACCCTTACAAATATTTACATGAGGATTCAGCATTAGTTCATTTGGTCACAGGAGCACTTTTGAAAACTTCCAAGATTAGATTGAAAATACTCCTTTAAAATTGTTACCGAAATTTACAGATTGTTTACCTTAATGACTCTTTTACATGTTAGTTTGTTGAACAGAATACCTATTACTTTACAATAACAGTGTGAAACCTATCCAGATCAAGCGTGATATGAATCCAGATAGTTAAATCTAAATGCCTTCAGTTATGATCTGTCAAGTTGGTTGGTTTGGGTCAGTTTAATAGAGTATGCTTTTTTTCTTTTCTTATTTTTTTTACTTAACATTACTGGTGCAATTTCCATTATTTGTTTGCTATTTTCTAAACTATTTCCTAATTTTATGAAGAATTTCCCCCATTCCAAAAAGTAAAAAAAACACTTAGTTTTTGGGGGAAGCAAACATTTTCAGACAGTGGTGACTGAAGACACCTTGTAAAACCTGGACGTATCAAGACTGTCGTGAGGTCATGGAGTAGGACTTTAATTAAAGATGTCAAAGCATTTAGTTGGATATAGAGATGAATACACATATCGGTGCTCCATCAGCAGTAATGCTGCCATTGTGCAGGACATCCACTTTTCAAAATTCTAACTCCACCCTCCCGCATTAAAAGAACCTGTTCTTTGCATGTGGAAAAATAAATTGTTCAAATGCATTGATGAATTACCAAATCCCATGCAGAAATACTTCTAGGTGTCACAAAAGTGGTTTTCTGTATAATCTACACATGGAAAGTGAGCACTGGAAATTTTACTCAAAAATCTATAACAGCACACTTGTCACAAAGCAACAGCATAGTTTGTACTGTACGCTGCTGCCCTCTTGTGTTTAAAAGTATACATCTGAGACACAAGGAATGCAGCTTGGCCCTTCTGTCTTTATTCTCTTTATTGTTGTGCACCGCACTTGTTCACTATGAACATCCTGTAACAGTAAACAGAACCCAAAAGAAACACATTAATTGATTCTATACACAATTTAGTAATACTCGGATAGCAGACAGGCAAACACATGACATACATTACCCAAATTCGATCCATACGTACCACAATTTCAAACAACACACATCCACTGACTACAATATAGAGGTTAGCTTCTGAACATACTGTAGCTGTAAGATTTCAGATTTAGAGAGAAAGGGAGCTCATGAGGGTTATCTAACAGGTAGGTCCTTATTGTGAATAGAGCAGAAACTACACGCCACCGAAAAAAAAGCAATAGCTTCAAGTTCAGCATTTTCAGCCTGAGACCCATTTTCTTTAAAGCGACACTTCCCTTCTTTTGTGGTCCATTCTGAGTGAAACAGCCATCACCCTTTCTTTTCACAGTTCAGTCAGCATCCTGAATCCAGAACATTAAACTGGGGTTGAACAAACTCAAGGATATGAAGCGAAAAACAAACGTGTAAGAGCTGAAATTCTACTCATCTGTGCAGTTAATGGATCTCCTCTATGGTATGACACACCTAAGTGAAAAGCGTCTACAGGGTATGAGATCTTAGGCATTTGCACTCACGTCGTTTAAAAACCTCAGATGCCTTGAAGTGACCGATACTTGTTTATACATTTAAAAAAAAAAGATTTTGCATATTTTCACCCATGAACTATATCCCAGGCTTATGAAAGACTTTTCACACAAGAAAACCATGTTATGAGTAACGTTCTGGAAAACATGGACCGTATGCAGAATCCCTGCAATTATTAATGTACATCAAGGAGAAATAATTTCACATCCATTAGGGTGGATTTAATCGATTATAAACAGCACCTGCAGCATGTACAGCTCCTCTGAGCGAAGTGCCCTGTACCTTTATATGTTGATATAAAATGGTGTGATACCCAAATGCAGTACATGTTGATTATAAATAAAAGTGTCAGTGCAGTAATGGGAATAGCTTACAGAAGTAAACAAAATGAATCAAGTACCAAAAGTGTAAAACTAAAAGAAAGACCTGTAGATGCAGGATATTGTTTTGATGAAACTGACAGCAGATATGTATGAGAAACCAACAAAACTAAGAAGCTGAAGAAGCAGGGACCAATCAATCTGTACTTGAGTCATCGTTAGTTGCTATTCATTATTTTTATCTTGTATCTATGCACCACAGATAAGAAACCAAAACAATGAAACATGCCCCTGCTTCAAGGCTGTTTGTGCTTTCACGGATCTTCAATTACAAAATCACACTTCTTCATGAATGAGTATGCATGAGGCCTCAAGGTGCTTCATGTGAAGAACTGTACATGTGCTGATCCTAAAATATGCAATGACCAGTTCCCAGCAAGCATTGAAACACACAGAGCTTCATTACATCCGACAGCAGGATTAGTGGCTCTACACAACATGCTTTTGTTTCAACTGTTGTTGAATATGGAATCTTGTTCATTATGATTTTTATTCAAGGGGCTGACCTAAACTCTATTAGCTCATTTCCAGTCATCTGCAGAGAAAAGGACGGAGTCAACGCCTGTGTCAAAACAAACAATTGCACTTGTATGCTATTTTAACTCACAAACCTGGATTGGGTCTTTTAGCATAAAGGGCTCAACTGTGACGACATACAGGCTTCACTTATGTTAATTTGTGAGTGATTTTTCATTTGTCATCACAGGAAACTTTCCAGATACAAAGTAAAATCTGTGGTCAAATGTCTTAAATGTTGTCAAATAACTGTTGTGGCAGATTACCTGCTGTTCTAAATCTCCACCATAGAGCAGCCTGCAAAATGTTTACTCGCTTTACTCCCAGAAGCGTTATTCTCTTATCTCTTGAGACCCTTGTCCCCTGTCCTGTTTTGATCTGTTTCCCAGACATCTAGGTGGATTTGATTGTTGGGCTGATTTGGAGCAAAAAGCTAGGAGACGGATAGTGTTGCACCACACACATACAAAGGGTACATCTGAGTCCATCTGTTCAGTATCACTGTTAACATTCTGCTCTGCAGTTTTCAGTCATTGATTCTGGGCAGGAAGATAAGCATGAGTCAAAGCGCAGGTATAAAGGCAGATGTTTTTGCAGTGTGAGGCTGTCAAATGCCAAACAGGAAAGGTATCGCTTTAGGGTTATATGACAGAATCAACAGGAACATCCTCTTTTCCTCTCATTTGTCTTTTTTAGTAAAGTGGTTTCTGTCCTTGGCTTTCAAATTCAGACCAGGCATCATTTAGTTCCATGAAAATCATCTTGGCATATTGTTCGTAAGGTTGTCCTGTTGCCTGTGAACGAGAAACAAAAGCAAACGCAATCAAAAGACCTGAAAATCAGAGTCTGACATGTTGCATTTTTAGTATTTCAAAGTGAAAGTGTTGTATTATTTTTCTTCTGGCAAACAAAATGATTTATCTGCCGATAAACCCAAGATAGAAAAAAATGTAATGGCTGAAAAATTAAGCAGCATATTCACTTCATGTGGGGTAAAACTAGGAGCAGATTCATGTTTGCACATAAAAACAACATTAAATAAATGTTAAGAAGTCTAAGACAGGAAGAGGAAAGATATCAGAGCAGCCAACAGACCAACTTATACAACCTTGATTATCTCACAAAGCAAAACATCCTCAACCAGAAATCTGTGAAATAAAACCACTTTGCTATGATTAACAGAAACTGGTGTGTTAAAGAAGGATAGAACAGCAGACTTACCTTTTTTTCAGTTAAGTAATTTAAATCTCTGAAAATCTGCCGGTCTTTTACTTTTGTTTATTGGTTAAACTTTCACATAGAGGCTGTTTACATGGTATACAAATCAACTATTAAGAAAAGTCTACATCAGGAATGGATTTGAAACACTGGAGATGTCTTTTGGGTAGACGCTCACTGTTATGAAACTAAAATTACATCAGACCTGAAGCTGCCGCTAAGTCTTGAAAATGATTACAATTCTGCTGCGATGCAGTAATTGATGTGTGGGTATTGATCCCATGATAAGATCACTAAAACTCTGCATGATTGGCTTTAATTTGGATTGCCCCTCTCTCCCATCCTGTTTAAAAGGAGTACTGATAAAAGAAGGAGAGGCACAACTCTTCTTCCGACACAGAGTGCTGAGAGGATACTTCGTGACAGATTAACAGAGAAAGAAAGTCTGGCCTGAAGCTCACACAACAGGTAAGGCCTTTTCTCCCAAAAACTTATAACATTTATTATACTGACAGAAAAACAACTACATTCTCTATCGCAAAAAGGAAGCTCCTGTTACAGTTTTTTAAGCTGTGAATTAAATGATTCTCACTTCACCTTATGTGTTTTGCAGATACCGTTTTCTCTGGTGTCAGGACTCGAGTTGCTGACAGTGATGTTCAACTCTTACCAGGAAATTACTCTTATGTGACGCAGCTACTTTGAACAAACTGAGAGCCAGCATATCACTTCAACAAGAAGAATGTCAGTTTTCCTTCATCTGCTGACACTGATCCTAATAGCGTCCATAACAGCGACTTTGCAGGCCACAAAAACCAAAGACTTAAAAGGAGATGACATCAATGTTTTCCTGACTATGGCATGGCAGGTTGCCGGCCACCTCCGTCCTAACTCCAGCTGCTATGTCTGCGCTCTAATGCCCTACACAGCTGCGGAGGGCTTACCTCTCATGGCTTTACCCGCCTCGGACTGTGACACCTGTCACCTGATGCATATTCACCTCGCTAACCCTTATTCTCATCCTGATTGTCCCAACATTAAAATGAGACCCCTGGACTGTACCAACGGGCATGGGAATTGCAACAGGTGTGTCCAAAAACCAAAACCAGTTCCCATAGTGATAATTCCACGGAAGTTTACTTGGTGTCTTGAGAATGATGGCCAGACGCCAGTAGGGTATTCAGACTGCCTTAGTACATTTAAATGGAGTCCTGGACGAACCGGGACCGAGTGGAAATCTCTGAATTCTGCTCCTCACCAGTGTTTGGAGGCAGCGGGAGAGGCTCGGCTCAGTGCTTTAGCTCACCGCACTGCCAGCTGCTCCATCTCCTCTCCTGTAGGCATGTACTGGGTCTGTGGGAATCTGGCATACCCGTATCTGCCGGCGGACTATAAAGGCCGGTGCGGCTTGGCATACGTTGTCCCGGCTATGAGAGTGGCACACTCTCTGCCAAAGAAGCTGCCTGCTACCAGAGCCCGGCGAGGAGTTTCAGATATTTTTGGGACACGTAATCAATCACCTTTTAAGAATGCAGTCGGAGCCCTTTTACCGTTTTATGGAGTTATGTCAGCATTAGATCAGATTGCTGATCTCTCTCACTCCATAGAAGCGATAGCTAACATGACTGGAAAGGCTCTCAAGCTCATCTCAAATGAGCTTTCCTCTGTTAGACTCCTGGCTTTACAGAACAGAGCAGCTTTGGATTTTCTCTTAGCTGCCAGAGGAGGGACTTGTGCAGTCATTGGCTCTGAATGCTGCACCTTTGTGCCTGATTATAATGTTACAATCCATGAGATCGTCGACCACCTTCAAGAAACTGCACATTCTGTCCACCAGGACAGTAGTTCTCTGCTCGACTACTTAAAGCCTGCGTTTGGGTACCTCAGTTATCAGACTATTCAAATGCTGGTTATTTTGGTTGTTCTCATTTTGCTCCTGTCTGTCTGTGTTTCATGTGTGAAAAAGATTTTGTTCAATATGAGGTAAAGCAAAACAAATTTGTGAATGTCCTGTAAAACAGGAATGCCGTGAGGGGAAAGATAATTGGCCTTTCCCCACAACAGAAAAGCATAAAATAAGCTTTAGTATGTTACAGTTAAGTGCATGTTTACCTTCCTAAATTATTGTACAAATCTAATATCATGGTTGCTATGATTCTTTTTTAAAATCTGCCATAAATTGTCTTCAAACAATATGTTATGTAATTACAAAATCCTACTGCATTTTGTCTAAGGACATGTGATGTAATGGGTCAGTTTACAAAAATAATAAATAATCATTCTGAGCAGAGGTCTCAGCCACTGTTCATATGATTTTAAACAGTTTTGTGTAACTCTTTTGTTTTAGAAAATGTCTGCTAATGACGGTGGGAAAAAAAATATTTTTTGTGATGGAATAATTCAATCATCTAATAAAAACAGCTGTCAAATTCCTCTGCACACTAGAACAACTAGAAAGTGTTTATTTGGAACCAGAGAGCTCAATTCTCTTCTTTATTGTATTTCAGTAAAATAATTTCTCACTGTTTAAAGTTTTAGTTGACGAGTCTCACCTTATCTGGGTGAACCACCAAGACTGCTTTGCGGTAAACCTTCTTGACTTGCTCTGGGGTAACCAAGTCAGCCATGCCCACAGACTTCCACCGGGTCTCTCCCTCCCACAGCACAGTATGCATGGTGGACAACAGGGCACGGATGTTACGCTCCTTCCCTTCAATCCATTCCAGGATCTGGGACACAAAGGGGGGGGGCAGATATGGAGAATCATTCACCAGTGGGAAGCAACTATTAGCATAAATGCTCTGAGAATCTATGGCTCGAGTAAAATGCAAAAAGAGTGAATATATTAATCAAGGTTTGGTCATGGGAGACCAACGTTGGTTTCGTAATTAATTCTGGTAAAAGCAGAGACTTCTGCAGCACACTATCCTGTTTTGGGGAATAACTCAACTGCTTCTGCTGAAGTACACAACATAAGCAGACGGTAAAAAACAAGCAAAATAATATCAAACCTTAATTTTACCCCAATGTTGTGTTGACAAATTCATACATAAGGATGTTTCTCTAACATTAACAGACAAACTAAACTTCAGTTTCATTTGAATCAGATAACACATCCTGCCTTTATTTTCTCAGGGTCCATCTCTTTGGCCAGCTCCTCTTTCCTCATCTCTGCTATGGTCCTGGGCCCTTTCCTCTCTTTGGTACCCGCAAAGCCCTGACCAGACAGCAGGTCATCAAAGTTGGCATCAGAGGCTTTGGGTTTGGGGCCTAACAGAAACACAAAGATAGAAAATGCTTTATATAAGTCACCGATTGGCAGTTTTGATTTCTACAATGTAAAATCTGTATTTGATCCATGCTTTTGCATGATCAATTTTCACTTTGACTTATTTTTTTTCAAACATGTAGTCATGAATTCAAATCTTCCATTCCCATACTAGAATGCCTGAATGTTAAAAACTTGAGTTTGCAATATCACAAGCATCCATATCAGTCTTAATCCAAATCCTCTCTCACCCATTCCAGTCTGTGCTTTGACCCCGGCCCCCGGAGAGCCACCTCCCATTGCAGAAAAGCTGACGTTGTAGTTTGGTCGGTTTTGGGGGGACGTGTGAGGCATGGGGGTGTGACTGGGGCTGGGCTTTGGCTGTGGAGCAGGAGCCTGTCCTTGGGCTTGCCATGCTCCACCACCTCCACTGCCAGGCTGCCACGAGGGGAAGCTGGCTCCTGTGCTTGGTTGCCATCCCCCTGCATGCTGAGGAGATGGGGGAGGCCGTGAAGGAGAGCCCATCGGTGGGAAAGAAGGAGTTGTTCCTGTTGGAGTGGTGGGCTTGCTGGAGAAGCCAGAACCTCCTGGCAAAAAAAAGGTAGCGATTACGACGTGCGAGGCAGTAGCATGGTGACACTGTTCATAGAAACGTTCAGGGACAGACCTCCAAGGCTTCCAGCCAGGTTACCAATATCTGCAAATGGATCCAGGGTGTTTGGCTTGGTTTGGTGGGTGGGGGTGCTGTGGACTGAGCCAGTGGGACTTGTAGTGGCCGACCGACTGCCCATTCCAAAGCTTCCTGCTAAATTAATCAACAGACAGTAATGTAGAGCAGGGTATCGGATTAACACTGAGTGCTCTGTGTGCTTGTGCCCTCACTGTCTGTGTGCCAGGAATACCTGTGTTAGCGGTAGCAGGTCTGTTCCAGTCCCATCCTCCCATGGCATTTTGCTGCTGAATGTTGACAGTTGGGGTGGTGGATGGGACAGGGGAACTCCGTCCTGTCCAAGCCCACAAAGGTTGGTAACAGGCAGAGTAAACGAGGAATAAGGAATTGAGATACATGAACCCACTCAGCTGGATAAATTACGTAAAAAGTCTAAAACTTACTTTTGAATATTTTTATATCACCAACAAGAGTTTAAATAAATGAAAGATGTCATTTTTTAAATCATTTAAACAATAAAGAATAAAAACTGAAAATGAACAAGTTCATTAGACCTGGCTTTAAATCGGACTTTCACAGGCATAGTCTAAATCTCATGTTTATTACAAAAAAGGTCAAGTGAACTGTGAAGTGAATAGTTTTTATGTGTAAAAATGAAACTATAGCTGTATTTAGAGAAAATGGGGTTAAATGACGTAGAATAACTAAAGCTTGGATTGATGTATGAAGCTGCACATGGGCTGCCCAAAAAAATGAACAGACATCATGCAAACTCAGTCACTGAAAAGCATATATTTAAACAGCAATTCAAAAAAGTCAATAACTTCAAAAAAAATCTTTGTATTTTAGATTTGATAAGTGCATCGCTCTATAATCAGTGTATACATGACATATTAACATTGGCTTGTGACTACTAAAAATGCAGACCACAGAAAAGCAACAGAAAGCATGCCTTACCCATGCTTGTAGGCTGCAGGGTGGGTGATGGGGAGCGAGCAGCATGCAGAAAAGGGTCTGTCTGCCCTACATTACCTGGTCCAAGGAATGAACCCATCATGTCTTGAGGCTTCGGCATGGGACCAGCTCCAAAGGGATCAAAAGCTAAAACAAAACAACCACCAGAATTAACCAATGAGTTATCTTACATATCATTCATCTGATGGAAATGTATTGCACATGCTACACTTTTGCATTATAAAACACATTTAAACAACACAGTATACATATATTTTTTAAAGAAATAAGCATGGCAGCAGTTCATGGCCTGAAGCTGGGGAGAGGTTGGGTGATACAACAGACAGTCTCTCAAAGCATGAAAATAAACCAACCAGAATCTGTATGCTAAATTAATTAACCCAAAAAAAAACACGTTAAACCAAAAATAATAGCTCTTTAACTGTTTTGTGCATGGAAACATTTGAACTCTCTTTTCAGGTTGTCCTTCACCTCACCTGGTGGAACAGGAGAGGGACACGGTGAGGCAGTGTTTGGGGCCACTTTATGTGGAGTGGACTGGGTGGATGAGGGTCCACTGGTTGGCTGAGTTGGAGCTCCAAACAGGTCTCCCAGGAGGTCGGTGGTTGCAGCTGCTGATGATGGAAGCTGAGAAGAGGGGCGTGGGCGGTTGATGTCTTCCCCAACTAGGCCAAGAAGGTCCACTTCCTGGGCAGCTCCAGGTGGGGCTGACGTGGAGACTGGGGGCTCGGGTTTCTGTGGAGCTGTACTGATGCTGCTTCGCTGGCTGGAGAGGGAGAGCATTTCGTCATCCGAAGCCTCGCTCTCCTCACCATGGCCCCGACCATCTGCACCACCAGGAGGCCGACTTGGTTCTATGAAAGGATAAAACAAAAACAGAATGAAAGGAAGTAGGAGATTGAAATGATAAAGGTGATTCCGCCAGGGGCCAAAGAACAGGCTGGACAAGATAAAAGCAGACATTGGGCAGTAAATAGACAAAAGGCAGACAAAAACACAGTGAAGGCCTACAAGGAAAAGGAGCAAGAGCAGAGTAGAAAACAATAGGAGTCTATGGAGATCACAACTGCTACAAGCATCACATTCTTCTAATAATTTGTGCTTTATAGTTGCTCACTCACAAAAGGAGCTCTGGTCAATATTCCAATCCATACAATCTATATGCGTTTAAAGAGGGGATGGAGTGTGTACATGGTAAACCTCAGCTACAATCAATTTAAAGCAATATTTCACCTTGATAGAACATTACAAATTTATCTAAAGCAATATTATTCTTTTCTGCTATTTTTAAGAGGGAGTGGATGTGTTCTTTGTTCTCCATTAAAAAAACTCCCCTTAAAACTATCTCCAGAAATGTAAAAATAGCCTTTGGTTTGCTTCGTTCACATACCAGGGATATTTGTAAAATAATATAGTAAGACACCAAATTTCCAGCAAGGTGATATATCGCTGTATAACTAGGGAGGGTGGGGGGGTTCACTTCAATTCAATCCATGCAGGTCATTATTGGAAACGACCAGTTGGATTTTACAATTACAGAAAATGTGACTGTCAATATTCTAATCTCCTTCATGGAAGAGTATAAGATTGAATTGAACCAAACCCAGTTCAATTCACTGTATATTTTTTTTGGCAGGTCTACAGTCTCCTTCTGTCTTACCCTCCAGATCCAAGCCCTCCATCTCATCTTGCAAGGACAGAAATGAGTCACATTAGTTTGTTTGAATGTCGACATATTAACGTATGTGAATGCATTATTGCACTCTAGCCTACAGCTATAAGACTAATATTTTCTCAGCTTTTAACACTGTTTGTTTGCCTGAAGTTGTGATCGTATTTCTGTTAGTGTTTTCACATTGTGCCCTAAATGGGCATCTGCAGGAAAACATTTTTTTTTCTCTTTTCAGCCTTATTTGTTATTTATTTTTGGCTACAGATTATATTTGTGCTTGTATAAGGATAGGTATTTCTTATTAAGGGGTTAATGCAGCACAATACATAATCTTAGGCCTTTGTAAACAGAAACACTCACTGATTTAGCTCACAAAAGATTCCTTAGAATGCTCCACATAGGGTCAGATATATGGGCGCAGAAACCACTTTATCTGTTTTTGTTCAATTATGGCATCTTGAACGCCATAATTGAATAAAGATAAAGTCCGCCCTCTCCATCACAACTGAATATTTGTCTTTGTGGGAACAGGTCAGAGTTGTGTTAAATGTATTTAGTCTTGTTTGTTTGTATTCTGTTTGTTTTGTATTTTCAAATATAGCTCATATTTGAAAGGTTTTAAGGGAATTTACGTCATCGAGCATATACTTTAGCATGTTGTTTTCCTTCTTGAATTTGATGCACATTATTGATTACATGTTATTATTTAGTGCAGCCCCTCCTTTACCTGCGATAGCTAGTGCATCCTGATGCTCCTGATGACAGGAGAACAGCACATTTGGGGTTAAGTCTTTACAGGGGAACTGCTCCCATGGTGGTGTCAGGTCTTTCTGCTTGTCCACTCCTTCTACTTCCACATCCAGTATCACATGAAACAGTTGGGGATACTTCTCAGGTGAGTCACAGGCATCAAGCTCTGGTCTGAGAGGAAAGAAGAAAAATAAAATGTACTTGTAAGAGATAGAGAAGGGTACATGACAGCACATTTAAACATATACTAAAAATTACCGGTATGTATGAAAATCAGATAATTTCCATTATTTAGCTTTATATAAAAGGTTGCTCCTACTTGTTGAACTTCAGCATGGTGGTTCCCGGAGCAATAAAGCCAGTGTGGAACTGAATCTGGAAGATCTGAGTGTTGGAAACCTAACAACAGCAGGACAACATTTTCATAAAACAAAACTTTACATCTTTAATTTCTAACAAAAAAAGAAAACATACAAATAAAGTTGTCTGATGTCAAAAAACTACCATTCGATCATGACAAACTATAAAATTACGTTCAAATAAGTGGGCAAACATCAGCCTGAATGGACAGTATTGGGATGCCATAAATTCACTGTTGCCAGGTCTGCTACCTAATATAGATTTCTGGGGCTAGGTGTTTGTAAAGCAATTTACAGGATATCACTTGTCACTCTGACTTTTTTGGGGGGTTTCTGTCCATAGACCCTGTCTCTCCTCATTGTACAGAGACAGTAAAATGCTGGTATTACTAAACAGAATAATCACAACTCTGTTCCCGTTTTGTATGACAACAATTCTTACTGGAGGGTTGGGTTTGGTGGATTTTGCGGAAAACTAGGTGTACCTTGGCCTGTAGACGACCTCCAATTGTTGACCTCATGTGGTAGACAGAAACAACAACGTCTCCTTGTACGCTCACACCCAGAGGAAAAGCCACCTTCCCCTCCTGAATCCTGTGCTCTCTAGACATGCAGAAGGCATAAAAAACAAGCTTTGGCAATTAAGGGAAGTCGTGAGGGAAGGGAAGAACAAATGGGTCAAGACTAAGTGAGAAACAACAGTTTGTAACTCTTTGCAGTCTTTACAATACCGACACATGCACACGATGAGATCATGTACTATACTTGAACTATTACTGACCTCATCCTTTCATAATCTTGTGCAGTTGTGAAAATTTTGGTTTCTCCGATGAGAACGTCACAGAAGGGCCGGCAGCCACTGCGTTGCTTGTTGAAACAGGGGACTGGACTCATTGTGAGGGCCTTGATCATCAACGGCTTAGAGTGAGGAAGGGTAGGTTTCTCTGAAACCATGCTACATACATAGCCTATGTATCTGCATGGAGAGAAAGTTTGAAGAGGCATACATATGTGTTACGCTCACATACCCATATTAGAACATTTGTAGGATATAGGACATCAGAGACAGACACAGAGACTTTTGCCTAATTTACTGATATTCTTAATATTAAGAAAAAGAGAACAGAATTTTGTTTTTTCTTCTTCTCTGTCACAGTGCTCAGAGACACAAACCTGTGGTGAGAAGGCCAGAGGCCAGAACCTGGTCTCTTGGCACTGAGGAGCTGCATGGCAGGAATTGGGTTGTTGAAGAGGTGGCAGAAACAGAACATGGCACAGACCAAAACACCAGAGGGAGCACGGCCGTCCTGCAAGAATAGAAGAAATACGCTCAAACATTTTATCATTTATTTGTGACTGCGTGCTTGAGCACACTTTCTTTTTACCATTACAGCATTTTTCAGGGGTGAAATTATTTTGTTTAAAATAATTACTGACTACTGCAAAAACATTTAAGAAAGATTTCAGATGACAAAAAAGTGGGGAGCAGATGGGCTACAAATGAAGTTAATGGCAGTAATTTATATTGTTTTATAAAGTTTTCACTGTGACTATATACATTTATTGGTTTATTGCAAACTCCATCGTATTAAATGTGCACTATTTCACTGCCAAAAAGTATAGTTGACTTGTTTGCTTAAATGTCTTTTCAGCTGATAAGCAAGATTAACATGGAGAAACTAAAGAGGACAGAACACCACAAAAACAAGGCGAAAAACACTTTGCAAGTTCTGTGATGAACTAAAATGGAGGAAAACGGCTTACGGATATTGAAAATGTCAAAGTATCAAACTCTTTTAATAGAGATCTATTCAGATCTGCATCTGAAAAACACTCCATTCGAGGCTAAAGGGAAAAGCTCAAACTACTGAATGTTGGCAATGGCAACTACAAGAATGTCACAAAAGAGCTTCTGTGGTATTTTTCTTAGATTTCTGGCAGCAGTTTTTAGACACTGTGTTTGGAACCAAAACTGGGTCACAAGACAAAGACCAGTTCCAAAAATATTTGGATGTGTTGTGGGACAATCAAAATAAGTCTGGCCACTTCAGAAGCTCATCAATGTGTACCTGATACTCACAGTACAGTGATATATATCTATAAAATTAAATACAGAATTCACTAATCCTATCAAATGTACTCCCCTTTCATGGCTCTATCTAAAGCAATCAGCATCCATTAATTAATTAAAACTAAATTAATTCAGAAGATAAACATGTAAGTGTCCTCTTACCGAGCAGGTGATGACACACACATTCTTGGGATTCTGTTTGAGCCAGTTGTGCATGTTTTTACATACAGCAAACAGGTTGTGGAGGCTGGGAGCTTGTCGTGACGGCCAATTACACTCTGAAACCTGAAAAAAAAGGGGGGGCATGGGGAGCAAGGGCAGGAGAGACGGATACACAGACAGGCAATAAAAGGGCAGCTCAGGACAATGAAACAAAGCAGCTGCCATTCACATCTCTAGATTTATCTGCAGGATGATTTTATATACAATGCATCAGCATCTGCTTTGATTTGAAACTCAGCAGCACAGAAGATTATCACAGTGTAGATGTGCTCCAAATTATAACATGTAAAGAGTCTTTTAAACGCAGTTAAAAGTTCCATTCTCGTTGAGATGACACCCAACTTGAGATTTTGTTTAATTGAGAAGACAAAACAGGGTAGATTGTGGAAGTCTTAAAGGGTCTTTTGTAATTATGTAACTAATGAAAACGTCAAGCAACTGTTGCCATTTAATAAGCTGTCAAATCAAAATGACAAATGAAACTGCATAAACCTTTATGTGTCATTCCACTTCTGCCACAAAGGAGAGGAAAGCAGTGCAGCTGTCACTGAGCGCTACTATTATGGGGTTTTTCTGTACTTAGAAAACGTATGATCCCACTCACCCTGTTGGAGAATTTGGCGCCGCGGTAATTACGCTGTGACAGGTTGAAGACAGTGTAGTGGTCAGCATGTCGGCTGTCGAGGAAAGAGCGGATGTCCTCTACATGGTTTTGGTAGCCGATCTGCACTGACTCTGCAGGGTAGGTCATCACTGAAGAACAGAACAACTCATTAAGCTGATGACAACTGACAAGAGAACGATAAACTGGAAATTAAACTAAAAGGCCTATATTCAAAAATGATTATCAAATGATCAAACTCTCCGACTGTAATTATAGACCACTGAGTATGAGAAACTGTTAGGAAATAAGCAGCAAGTAAGCAGGTCAGCTAAAGATATATACGTCTCAGAACAGGACACAAGAATCTGAATACAACATTCAAAAACCCTTTAGTTTGAGATTTTAATGTAGTCAACAGGACAGATATTTCCTCCATTCATTATTTTGGAAACACGTTTTAGGCGTGAAGACACACACATGTACATAGTCAGTCAAATATTTTTACCTATGATCCTCGATGTAATGTAAGCAATGTCCAGCTCTCCTTTAGTGTACCTAAAACAGAAAAAAGTGATTATTACTCCCTTACAGATGAAATATTACATTTGCAAGGGAAAAAAAGTCTGTAAAAGTGAAAATATGACTGTTTTAAAATTATAATTATTATTAGTAATAAGCACACATCTTTAAATTTCTGTTCCAGTGAAAGAGATCAAAAGGGTGCCATATGTGAATCCTTCAAACAAGGATAATTGCCTTCCATTGCCACATTTAACCATTCCATATGGGGTCTTTTTTTTCTAACTGGGAGCAGCTGCAGAGCACAAACACAGACAAGTAGCTCCCTTCCTCAGCACAAAACCGTGGATTCAAAATATGGAGCAGGTGGGTATGAATACAGATAATACATACTGTATCTGCTCTCTTGTAAATGACAGCTCCGGTTCAGCACACATCTGTGGGCTAGTGTGTGTCAAATTGTGTTGATATATCTCCAACTGTGAAAATCCCCGAAGTTACCAATCTGGAGCGAGCGGCCCTGTGTGTGGTCACGGAGCAGAGCCAAATGGCCTCGATGCAATCTTAGGCCCGGTTATATAATGCTGCGCTCCTCCACTGCTCTGCTGAAGACTTAGACACAGCTACATTTGTGCTGGAATTTCCCTCAGAAGTGTAACATATTTATCAAGACTGCATAAATCTCAGTGAGCTAAATGTTTTCTGTAGCAGCTGAATTGTGTTAATGCGCTGTGGAGATCGGCTATCTGTGACTGTCCTGAAGTAAACAGTCATTAGAGGACGGAAGCAGGTCAGTTGTCCGGTTTAAATAGCCGTAGCAGAAAGCTGTCAGGTGTGCAAAGAGCAGCGTCCCCTCTATCCTCGAGAGGATAGAGTGGCAGTCAGGGAACATTCGATGGAAGATATGATACAAAGTCTGAAGGGAGGTAAAGGACAAGGGAAATGCTGACACTACAGAATTGTCATTTTACTGACAACATTGTTCAGTAAATATCTGGGCCATTCACCATGGAGACATCATGGTCGGAGGACGTATGTCAGCTGTGCAATTTCATGCTGGAACAGCTTTCTGGAGAATGCAGCTTTCTTTCAAGCAAAACAACACAAACACTACAATACATTAAGAGTTTGTGTAAATTTGCATTTAAAAAAAATTTTTTTTTTAAATATTTTTGAAAAGCGATCGCTGGTGTTTTGTTCAATGAAAAAAAAAACATTTGTGATAAATCTACACTTTTTTCAAACATTAACATTACTGAATTGTGAGGAGAAATGGAAAATTTGACAACTGTCTGTTTACACATAAGACAGCATCAGCGTGAAGCCTAGGGTTCGAATTTTCCTAAAAGAAAGGCGACGCTGGAGCATAAAAGCACTCATAAGGCAATTTGCAATAGCAGAGAGGTGCTCTAACAGCTCTCTGGTGACTTCACACACTCTCAGCCACACACTCAAGCAGACACAGTGTAAGTGGGTTAGATCCCAGTGGATATTAGATTTGGGCTGTCGACATTGCCCCCCTGCTTTTAGGAATTCTTCTCTTCTTTTTTGAGAAGGATTCTGTTGTTGCTTGTCTTCTTCATTATTCATAGGTTAATAAATAAAGGCCATTTAATGTTTGCATTTTAACTCGCTTCCATCAGGTACTAATGTTTCTCTATCACTCTCTACATTGAAAAAGCATGCTTCCAAAACTAACAACTACACAACAGTTGTCATTGTTACTGATAAAAAAATTAATAAATAAAAATGTTCTCTTTTTCCAACTTGTTCAACCTAAAATGCTGTGTTGTTTTTTTCAACCCATTCCAGAATCCACTTGCAGCAGCAGTTTACAGGACTGCAATATGGGTTATATTTAAGGGAACAAATAAAAATGATAGTTGCACTTGTTGAATTTATGATAAAGTGAAACAATAAAGTAAGTTATTTTAGTGTTGAAATATTTACACCTAATTTAATCCAGCATTGTTGCTATTAAATTAGATTAATGCTATTAATCTTTTTGAGCTTCTTGGTGAGTGTGAATACAAACACGGAAGCTAAGGCTTTAAAAACTCAAACTATGATTTTCCTAAACCCTACTGCCAAGCTGTGACATCAGTCATCAGATCTGGCCAAAATTAAAACACTATTGTCTTCCAATGGCTTAAGAAAGGTTTGAAATAATCATTTATTTACAAAATGTCATAATTATCATCTCAGCTTGCAACAGGATGTGTTGTTTTCTGTTCTTCAACTTGTTAACTTTGAGCCCTCTTTCCTGATGGTTTCAATCGGTTGCCACAGTAGCTCCCACCGCTACATTATCCAAACCACCCACTCACACATGCCTATACAGTCCCCACAAACACACACCACTGCACACAAGGCCCTGATGAAATGAATCCTTCTGTATCAGCAGCGCACTGACCATTTGGCACAATGAACTAACATGAATAATTCAACCAGAAGAGGAGCGAAAGACATCAAAGATGTTGCAGGAAAGATGGAGCTGAGATGAAAACAGGAGGGAATGACAGGACGAGAGAGAGGCAGAGGAAGGGAGACACAAGGGAGGAATAAACAGTCAAACTTGCTGAGTCAAGGGTGAGAGGAGCATGTGTGCGTTTCTGACTGCACAGAGGGCTCTTTGTGCTGCCCGGTGCAGATGCCTGTGCACAAACACACTGGGACGACTGAGCCGTGCCAGACTCTGCAGCCTTCCTCTGTCCTCCCCAAACGGTTTCTTTAAAGCTGCTGGAAGCACATTAGTCTTGTTGGCATGACGAGGCTAAACAACATTCAGCTTGCAGGTGTCATCTATCAACATGTGCAAAGTGGCAGTACTCCACTGACCTGTAGGCTGGGTTTGGTTCATATACACTCAATGAAAAGAATTTTATTTTGATATGTTATGTCTCTTTATAAGATGAACGTCTTAGTTTAATTTTAGATTGATGTATTTTTAGCATTTAGCTGAATTAGCATCTGTTTTTGGACATGTACATCATACCGGCAGCAGGCCCAGGTTCTTAAATTTGTTCACTTGAAAAATCACAAAATTTCTGTTACAATAAGTAACTTCTTTAAAGCTGTGAGTGTACTAGGCCCCCAAACTTCAATGTGTCATCTCTGGGACGAGCTGTATGAACTGTGACAATACACGAAAGCGACAGACACTGGACTCTCTGAAGCCGTAAAACAGCATCATACATGCATGTGATGCAAAACTAAAGGTGTACAGACATAACACCATCTGAATATCAGAATCCATCATTCCCTTTGTTGTAGTATATATTTTTCAAGCAAATCCACTGAGATGTCATGAATTAGCTTTGAATGCCAGCGTGTGAGCTCCCTACACACTGTTATTTACCCAAAAGAACGTAAGTTTTGAGCCTGATTGTATTAGGTTAGATGACAATGGCTGCTGGTGGCGATTACTTACGTAGCTACTTGATGCATGACTTTCGTGGAGGTGTCTTTCAGCGTGTCTTTCAAGTTGTCTTTGAAGTTGCTAAAGAACTTCCCAGCTCCTCCTTTCACCATGTCCAACAGCCCTCCACCATAGCCAGCGTCCATATCTGGAAACAAAAGAGATTCAGCCAAGGTCAAATCTACACAGCCACACAAAGCAAAGATATGCAGTCCCAAAAAACAGTTCTGTCTTAACACTTTTTGATGTAATTCAAGTCAAAGTGATCCTTCAAATGGAAATGGAACCTGAAATTGAAAGATTTCTATTCAGTTAAAGATATTGCGAGTCAATGCACAACACGGCTGATCTGTGTAGGTGTGAAATGATGATAGACACTCAGAGCAGTTGTGTGTGTGTGTGTGTGTGTGACACGAAAGACAAGAGACTGAATCAGCACCCCCCTGGTGATCTAAGAATTCCTCTCCTTCCTCCTCTGTTTTCTGCCTCCTTTGTGTATGGTAGATACACATAGCAAACCAGTGTGTCATCACTTGATATTTAACTTGTCAGTGCTGACTAAATCTACATGATTTAGCACCTTCAACTGGATATTTTGTCTCATCTGAACACTAAAGATTATGAGAAAGCTTTTGTGCTCTTGTCAGCAGGAAGCCTCCCGGGGCGCTGGCTTTCTCTGGCTTTTTTCTGGCTTTCTCTGACTTGCTGATAGGCAGTAGTGCTTTAGGACTGAGTCCCACACTTATGGAGTTTGGTCTTGGGTTTGGATAATGTGGATCATATATCATATTTAATGTGGTCATATTTTATGTTCTCAATTCCAAAGCTGAAAATTGATAGAAATAACTGATCATACCAGCCTGGAAAGCTAATGAAAGACATACTGCAAAGGTTTTATTATGATAAGTTAACATGTACTTTATTGATCCCAGGATTGCAAAATATTTTTTTAATTAAGTGAACGATTTCCTTAAAATCCCTTAACAGATATGAAAACGGATTATATTGAATCGATAGAAAGTAACGCAAAACTTTAACGACGTCTGGTTTTACTTTTCTATCTTACGCCTCCGGCTCATTCCAGGCTCGGTAAATACAAACGCTGCCTCTATATCTGTTTAGGGAGAAGTTTTGGCTGCTGCACAAAGTTAGAATAACATGCTTTGAGCGCCTTCACCACATCTTATCTTATTATATTTGCTCAGATTGCTCACAGATTTCCAAAGTTACACTTCTAAACCTTCTCTTCAGGACACTGAAATGTGTTATAGGGATTTGCTTTCTACAAAAAAAAAGCTTATTTTGTTGAAATCACCCCATGACCAACAAACAAGCTCAAATGGAACATTGCCTTTGGCAAACGAATTACGGATAAAAAGGGGTTTTATGTATTTTTTTCGGTCATCTTTTCTCAATCCGAATAAACCAAATTCAGCAAGTGACAGTAAGTAGAAGTGAACACACTTACAATACATCTAAAAAAAAAGCTTTAGGCTTCTGATACCAGGCTAACTCCACAGATGCACCTTCATCTCTGTGAGGTGAAGGTTTTGTGTGCTTTGTGCGGTACAATCAGAAAGACAGTTAAATGGAAGTACTTTCCTTTTTTTTGTAAATCTGTGGGAGGCTTTTGTAGATTTGAAGCGCATAGTTTCCCACAGACATGAAGAAATGAAAGCAGCTACCCATGTTTGGCACTTTTTATTTAGGTTTTTTTTTGGTTGGTTTGTGTTTTGGGTTTTTCTATTTTGCAAAATGAACACAAATCATTATTTTCTTTCTCTCATGTCAGAAATAGATCACTATACATGTCAGAGACTAAAGCAAATGTATACACCTTTTGAAAAAGATCCTAAATATGTTCTGTTCATCAGCAGATTTCAGTCTGACTAAGCACTTTTTGCAATTGCTTTTTTTCTTGTTTCGTAGCAACTAGCGCTGATAAGTTGCTTTTCCACTGCAGCTTTGCTTTATTTCTATTGGCAAGCAAAAACAAAAAACGAACAATAAAGACAACTTATAAAACCCCATAAGGATCACACAATCAGTCAAAATGACCTAAACCTCCTACCCTGCAAGTAGCACTCTACCACCCAAGAGACAGCCACTAAAAGAAGCCCTCAATGATGTTTGATTATCAAAAAATATCCTGGATCAACCATGCACATTAAAAAATTTCATCTCAACAAACAAGGCAACTGATGAGTAGTTGTGTCTATTTGATGAACTGCTGTGATATGATAAATTGACCATAGATGTCACGTCTGTGGTGAGGAAAAAAAACTGAAAATCTCCATGTGCTTACTTCAAGCAAAGCTGTCATTTCACCACTAAGCTTTGGTCTATATTTAGGCTCCTTATTCTGCATCTCCCACCCAGCAAGAACAGGATCCTGCTTCACGTTGAATTCAAATGCAGTGTGAATTCAACCTGGATGTGCCAATCATGCTTCATACCTGCACAGGTAAAGATGGAGCAGTTGTCATGAGCAAACACACATGTTTTAACCAAATCAACACACTCCTCCTCACCTCCGAAGTCATTTAGCTTTCACAGGTGTGACCAAATAGAGAGCAGGGCAGCCACGACGGATGAACAACGATGTCCCCCTCCTGTTTCACCAGTACTCAGCTAGGGCTGAATGACACCCATAGTAATATGCAAAGGGTAAACCATAAAAGCCAAACACCGCTCTGTATTCAGCTTCAAAGTTGCTACATAGCTGGGTTTCATTTTGCATAGACTTGAATGGAGGTGATGACCACCAGCCTCTAATCTGCTTATATAGATGCTGCTGATTAGACAGAGATTCTTTGATGATTCATAAACAGCTTAACCAAAGTTGTATTCAAGTCCTCTGAATGATAAGCATGTTATCACAAGCTTATACCATGTATACCATGAAACACCACAAACAGGAAGCTGTGTTTGGCTTTATGGGTGTAAGACTTGTTATTGTGTATTTTTCTGGAGTACGTTAACTGAGCCCTTTCCAACATAACATACAACTTTTGGTGAGGTTGTATCTGTACTTGGAAGCTATGGTTCTTTATATGTGACTTGAGTAACTTTTTTTTACTGTAAAGTTATGGTTATGGTTGTTACCTGAAATGACGTACATCAGTCAAATATCAAGAACTTCAGCTTTCTACATGTGTAGCATGAGTAGGTATATGGGGCTGAGGGCTGACATCTCTAGTTCTGTTTTCTCTGTCATTTCCCAATGTGAGAAGGACTATAATCACAAATTGTTTTACAACAACAGTGATAATCAATACAAATCCATAGGAACTCTTTCTCAATTTCCCTGCAAATCTGCTTGAATCTGCAGACGTGCTCCCATGTTGTTCTGTCAGCTAGTGCCTTTGCCTCTCTGTCCAGATGGAAGTGGGAGTGTGGAGATTGCTGAGCCAGATACAGTGACAAACGTTGCTAATGCAGACACCAGGGGAGGCTCTAAATACCAACCGTATCAGGTAAAACAGCAGCCCAGAGCTGGGCCACCACGGAATGAGACTGAGCTGAACTTCAGCAGAACACAGGGCTCTGGGCTTTGCCAGAAAGATCAATGGTTTGTTTGAAAGTGCTTCACTCTTTCTAGAGGGCCCACCTTCAGCCTTCAATATCCGGCTCTGTGAAAACGGGGCCGTGGGTACAGAAACACACACATACAGAGACGTATGTGTGGGCACATCAAAGAGCCCGACAGGATAAAGAGTGCGCAAGTCCAGACAGACATCTGACACGAGAGTCTCTCCTGCCCCTTCCCCACCCCCAATTCCCTCTCCCCACTGACCCTCCCATCATCCTCTTCCAAATTCTTTTGTTCCATGCAAATGTTCATCTCTGGAAGCTGGCTGAACCCACACACCCCTGCAGTGAGGTGAAAACAGGGCAGAATCAGACCCTACTCACAGGCTCTAAAAGGACATGCTACTAGACTTGATGTATCGTCAGTTATTGTTATTGAACCACTGGAACTAAGATTAGAAGTGTTACTAATTTTGGATAATAGTTCATAGAGAATAAAGATGGGTTATTTCAGTTTTAGACAGGAAATGTCTTTATAATCTTTTTATAATCTTGTGTTTGTTTCTCTCAGAGTAAAATGCTTTCTTTGGAATGAAAAGATGTTCTGCATCAGGATTAGACTGACCCTTGTAGCATGTCATATCAAGACAAAATCACATGAATTTGTAACATGAACTTACATAGAAGTGTACACTCTTGTGTCTTTTGCTTTTTAGTCAGTGCGTGTACCATTAGTGTATCATTTAAAAAATGACAAGCTGTAATCACACGTGGCCTGATTCAAATGTATCTAGAATAACTCAGAATGTAATTAGCATGTTTGCAACAACAGTAAAAATGTTTGCTATGATATCTGAATCTGCATCTGAGTCCTCCTCTAGGATCTTGATTCAGGGGGTCCAGTTGTCTTTACTCAAGTTCTTTGGATCACGATCACCTTAATTATTCCTTTTACATTAGAGGCTTAAAGGTTAAATGTAAAAGCTTTAAAATGTATTCTACTTGAGTAACAGCTTTTTTGTATATAATGATTACATTTTTTTTAAAGAAAAGCCTGTATTAAAAAAAAGTCATATGAATATTGAACCGGTAACTTTTCTCATTAAAATTGTTGTTGTACCACTATAAGTTTGATCAATTAGGTGTAATCTATCATTCACAATAGCATGATTGTCTTGTGTCTTTGCAACATGAATTTAGTCAAGCAATAATTCCCAGAGATCCATATCAGAGAATTCTTGTGCAGTGTTCAATATAGTTTCACATTTATTAGCTGTAAAAGTAAATAATCCATAAAAAAGTTTTTTTGATATCATCCAATGCTGGTTTTAGAATTGAGGCATATACTTTTTCGTCCATCACGTACAAACACATCGTTTACAATGCGATTGAAAGTCACCTGTGCTCAGTTGAATTGGGGTGACTTGGAAGCAGCCTGCTCGGTTACACATGCAGGATCTGGTGCTGACCAGGCCACTTTCACTACTGTTAGCCTCTCTGCTGCTGCCCACTCCCGTCTCTCCACCACAAAACAGTTACATGTCCGGTTAACATGGAGTAAAGTCATCGCTTTCCCCCCCCCCTCCCTTCTCTTGCCACTAAAACAATCGCCATTCAAGCGGCTGGTGGGGGGAGGAGGGGGAGTCTCACCTGAGCTGTCCATGGTGCTGCAGCCCTCCTGTCTCGGCGGGCCGGCCTTCGGTGCTGGGGTGGCCGCTGTGGAGCCTCCACCGCCTCCGCCGCTGCCCCGGCCGGTGCTGAACCTGTCTCCGCCGCTATCGACCAACTGCAAAGATTCGTAGCCATCGTAACTGGTCTTTTTCTTGTAGGCCCCTAGCAAGCTCATTACCAAAAGGACACACGGAGACACAGACACCAAAAAAAAAAAAGAAAAAATTAAAAAAAAAAAAAAAAAAAAGACGAACAGAAGCCCCCGGAAAGACGTGTGGTTCCGCGCCGCGACGCCGCCGCGAGTGGCGTCGCCGCTACGGGCTGCACCACATGTCGGAGGGGAGAGGAGGAGAGGAAGAGAGGAGGAGAGGAGGAGAGGAGGGGAGGACGACCGGTCTCCTCTGTTTTCCCGAGGACCGAGAATTCTGCCGGCTGGTCTGTTCTCTCTCTCTCCCTCTCTCTCTGTCTCTGTCTCTCTCTCTTTCTCCTGTATCGCTTCGTCGTCGTCCTCTCATCCCCGCATTTTACTACGCTGCTGCCGCCGCCTGCTTCCGCTCTAGTCCCGGGCCGAGTTAAAGGGAAATCCGCCCAGACTCGGTCCTCTGTTATTGCTGCATCCATTATTCAAGTGGTTGGTGTGACCAGCACCATTAGCAGGGGCTTTCAGAGATTCGCATTAAAGCAATACAGTAGCCTACTGTTTTTTTTTAAGGGGGGGGGATATAACCTACACTATAGTTTAGAACCATAATACGAGTTAAAACAAGATTATCTCTTGTTTTTTTCCATCAAGCTACAGATGTCCATTTATCCAAACAGGCAATTTAGTGAACTGTATTCTTGTGCTAAAACCATTGCATCCTTAAAGCCAATTGGAATCACTATCCTGCACCATAGATCTAGGAGTAAAGCAAATGTTCTTAGTCATCAACCTAAAAACTGAAACCCAGCACAATGTTGAGAATGCATCCAATTCCTTTGCCTGGAAAATGAAACTGAGTCAATAGTAAATGTTAAGCTTACTAGCCTTTCCTAATCTGATATTTAAATAAGAAGAGGGGCATCATTTTATGTCAGATAAAGGAAACTAACACTCAGACACAAACAGAACATATTTCTTGATTTATGCATGGCAAGATGAAGCTTTGGATGTTAATGTTCTCCAGATTTCTAATATTCTGTGTATTTTTTTAATATTCTGATCCCGGGTCCGTGCAGGACAAAACTCTGACCAGTGATGGCATGCTTCTTTTTTGTGCCTTGTCCCCTGGCAACAGAAACCCTGCATGGTTCTGAAAGGAGAACATGAGTCAGGGAAACTCTTTTCGGAGGCAGACGGAAGCTCAAAGGAAAGAGGGAATGGAATGTCCGGAAGGAAGGATTTACCGGCCATAACCGGATGCAACATGTTGCCAGTGCTTCCTATCTTGGTTGTGATTGCAATTACAGACATTTATCACTCCACAACCTGCATGTTTCAGGCAATTCAAGATCCAATTTGCCATGACAGAGCATGATCAAAGAATCACACCAATTTCTACTGTTCTGTGTGTAAGTTTTCTATTCATTTTGATAAATTTGTGTTTTTCTGCTTCGAAAATGGGCTTTGGCATGTGCAAACAGCAGAAATGACTGCTGGAGAACATGCTCAGGTCATACAATACAACTATTTACTATCCAATTTCAATGCTGCTAGATTAATTTCAATTTCTAAATCATGCTTGCATATCCTTGATATAAGTATTTATGAAGTAAGTCTGTCTGTCAACAAAACTCACTAACCTCTTCAAACAAAATGGGGGGGTTGTGACTATTATCATATACACAATGCACTGTAAGAGTATATCACCTTGCCCCATACTTCGTCCATAACATAAAAGATTAGAAAAATATTAGATGCCTGAATCACATGACACACAAATAGTGTCAGAAGTCCAATGCAAAATCCACTCATGGCCACAGGCTTGTGTTGGCACATGGGGTGGTCTTAGTGGTGCATCCACTTGTATAAACCATACTTAACAAGATTGGTAAGTTACATGTCACTGTTTCATTTTCAAGTGGGGATATGTTGTCTTCCTCTAGTAATTCTTTGGAAACCCTTGAATGTTCTGCTGAATCCCGGTTGCACTGCTTTATGGCATAGTATGGGTGTCATATGTTTTACTGTTTTTTATATCCTTGAGGGTGGGTAACAGATTAATGATTATCCCCAAGACACTCAAAGCAGAATCCTGGAATCTGCTGGGTCAGCTGCCGGGCTCACAGAGTGTGTGACTGAAAGCTTCATGGCGCTCACGCACACTTTCTTTTTCTATCTTTAACACTGAAATCACGTTACGGGATTGGCTGTTGATCCTGGACGACTGTTGCTCCATGTAGGTGCGAAAAGTGTGTCACCGAGGAACGATTAGGTAGCAAGCCGCTTTAAGCTGTTAACGTGACGAGCGTGACGCTTTGTGACGTAATGGCGTCCCATTGGTTAAGAAGAGAGGAGCTGTCCTCTCGAGGTAGAGCCATTGATGGGTGATGAAGATGGAGAATGTGATAAATCTGTTTACCAAATGTGACAAACACCTCTGTGAAACAATAATAGTACTAATAATAAAAGCCTTGTCCCTTGTGAATTTATATTGGTCTACTTAAAACTAGTACCGGGTAGATCTGCCATGTCCTAGTTTCCTGATATTGTCGTCAGCGAAATCCTCAGCTGGAAGAAATACCCAACAATCCAAAGTGGAATGCTTCATACTGTTAATTTAGACTATTCAAGCGGCTCGGTACTGTGATTAAAGATAAAGAAGAGGCATTGGGGCTGGGTTTCTTCCAAAAAGGATTAGAAAAAAACAGAAACATCCGAAATGATGTCATTCCCGACTGAGCGCATTCCAAACAGGCCCAGTGCTTAGAGATAAGTTTGTAGTTTTTATTTTCAGTTCATTATGTGAAGATGTCAAATAAAAATACTAAAAATATGATAGTTCTTCGCTGGAATAAACGCATGTTGGTTATAGTCCAGCTGTCCACGGATGCACTGTGAGGGAAATAGTCACGATTTCCACAGCTCGTAATTATGTAACCTCCGCGCACAGAGCACGGTGCCAACCCATCCGCGCTACGTGTGCTGAATTAAAAACATAAAAAATCTCATTTGATGCATTGACCAAATAGAAACGGGCGACCCGATAGATGGCCATACCTGTCAGAGCAGTCTCTTTCATTCTCCCAGGAGCGCCGTCTTGTGTCGTTCTGGAGATGCGCTGAAATGTATTCCGGCTCCGCGCGCACACACACACACACACACACACACACACCGACCTTTGATTTGTCATTCACTGTCTGTCAAAGGTCAGGCCGTTAAACGTCCCGTGAGATTCGTGGTTCTGGGAGGCTTCCCCCAGCAGTTAACCTGTCGCCAAAAGAAGAGGGAGTACCTGGGGGAGGGGGGCGGGGGTCTACCACGTCTTCCTATAATCACATTTTGGCCTGTGAGCAGCAAACAAGATTGCAAGACTGCTATTGGTAGATCTGGGATAGATGTTGATGAGCGTAAGCGAGCTGCCAGCAGTGGTGTGGGTGCTTATGGATCTGGAGAGCCGCTCACTGCATCCGGTCAGTTCCAGGAAAACCCGGAGTGGAGTCAGGAGACTGGATGACCAAATGTCACAGAAACCACGAAAATTGAAGGGGAAAATTGAAGGGGTAAAAAGTTATCTCATCAGTACAACTGGGCTTCATAGGGACACAATTTAGATAATATCCTGTGGTGTATTTAAGAGTCTGTAACAAATTTGATGATTTCCCTCAAACTGGAAGGGGCACAGGTCAAGTCCAATTTAATCTCAGAGCTGCAGCTTCAGCACAAAGTGAACACAGTGAAAGAGACAGAGATCTGAGACTTGCAGTGGAGCAACAGTTTGAGCCAAGCCCCAATGCACTCAGCTTTATTTACAAATCCAACAGGATTAGATGTGAAATAGATGCAAACCATATGCCTGCTCCAGGAAGAAGAAGAAGAAAAATCAAAGAAGCAGTTTAAGTCATTTTCTGAAGCAAATACTCTTAAATGTAATTTTTGGGAGCATTTACGTGGCTGCACTTCTGTTTAATTTAGAATCTGTTTGAACAGACAAATGAATGACATCTCTCCACCACCGTTCGATCAACACCTCACACCAAGCATCCAAACGTACAGTGTTAGATTTCATAAACCATAAGCTGCTCTCTACACATGTTCCTAGATAATTAGGTTTCCCTTTCTTTGGTCCTCTGTCTGTACAGTGTCACTGAAAATACACTTATGCACAATATCCAACAGATGCAATGCCTGGAACTCAGATTATGACAATAGAAAAACACATAAAACATTCAACATATGTTCTGCTCCCCAAAGTCAGGCATTGTTTGGATGTATGCTGATATTCAAAGGCTTCATGCTGTACAAAACTATGACCATTACATTTCCGCTGAGAAAATGTCAAAATTGTACAATCAGCGTAGTCACAGAGCTGAAACCAGCTCGATGTCATTGCTATTGTTCGGTCCACTGCTTATACTATTTACCAGTGTGCTTGGTGTACTACAAAAGGCAAACTCCTGCTGATCAATCTCAAGCTTTGTGGTGAATAATTATACAAAGACTCAATCTCTCATAATAAAAAGCCAAGCCTAGCTTTTAGAAAATTTGTAAGTGATTCATTCTTCATCTTTACATTCAAATTATCGGAAAAAAGATGTTTACATTTAAAATATGCAATATCAAAACCAAAAATAATCTCACTGTTCATTGGTAAAAATGTATAAACATTACAACAAATATAACCTAAACTTTTATTTGCAGATGCAATTCTAAGGTAAAACTTTAGAGTAAATTTCAAGGAATGTAACACTGAGGGTAAAGAGTGTTTCCCCTGTCCAAAAGCGACCACAGCCATGATTTTGCAGCTCATCACAAACTAGAGAGTAAAGATTCATACAGCGCCCTTTGCTTTTGAAACAGGGTATAGATTTAAAGCACATGTGAAAACTGAAAACTGGTACATTTAAAGAAAGTTATCACAAAGTAATCAAAAAGCTGCTGGAAGATTTTGCAGACATTCTTTGTTTTGATAAAGCCGAGTAACAAATTAATCAAAAATGTGTTGTTTGGTGTCCTTGTGCATTTCTTATCACCCCATTTTCTCCTTGTGGCGTTTGGATACGAAGCAGTGTCAAGGTGTTTGGCTTTGATGGGCGTCTTGTGCTAGCGTGTGCATCTTGTTGCTGAGCAGAGAGTTGATGTAAGGCCAAATCCTATCAGTCTCTGTACCAGAAAACGAATGCAGGATTCCTAGGGACCTAAATGAAGACAGTGAAAAACAAATGTGGAAAAGCCGATTTTGGCCACATAATGTACACCGTTTCAAGTAACCACGTCATGTAATGGTAGCAGCTAATGTTCATCTTTTCATTTGTTACAAAATGAGTTATAGAGAAAATGCCAAAATGTTAACATGTATTCAGGTGTCATTCAGATTTTTAGGAACTACAATAAATATCAGTTGCTGGCCAGATGCACATCTAATGAAAGAACAAATTTTTATGAAACGGTATTATCTAAATACACAGCTTAAACAAATGGAAGCATTCACTGACTTGTACAAGTCTATGACAGGCTTTGCCACTTCCTTGTAGTGTCTCAGTCTGGCCATTAGAGCTTCTGGTTTGTCGTCATCTTGCTGAATCAGAGGCTCTCCGGTGACGTCATCCTTACCCTGAAACAGCAAACCAAGGTCACAACAATCCAATGATGCAAAATACCAAAACACTTAATTCAATAAATGAATTCTTCATTAAAGGAATTTTCATCACAACTACATAAATAAACAATCATGAAATATGCACGGAACCAAGGCAACCCCTTTTAAAGCCTGCTACATCCTGTCCTCAAAGGCCTCATCCAAGTGTTTCATTACCATTCCCAGAAGATCATAATACATCCCAACCAGTTATCCAAACCACCTCAATTTTCGCTTTAAACATTGAGAAGAGGCAGTTGTGCTTTAGGGTTCACTCGGATCCAGGAGCTTCAGGTAGCCTTTGAAGGTAGCTCCTTTGAACTCTTTTATTTGCAATAAAACATCACAGTTAGAACCAGAGCAGCACCAGTCTATCTGCTAATTCCCTGCTCTGTTGCACTCATCATGAGATTCAAAGATACTTAAATCTCGCTACTCACGCCAAATGAATTCTCAATTCAGATGACTAATACTTGGGTAAAAAAACATCAAATATCCTTCATGTATTCATTGAATAAGACAAACTGAAATAGTCTAATCTACTGTCTTGAATTTAATCTCAAAACCAGACACACTGGAGCACCACCCATTTTGCTAAACCAACAAATCTGTGTTAAAAAGAACAGAACTGATGACAATAAATAGCTCTGGCTATGCCATCAAAACAGGTTTGAGGATACAAGCGGTAAATTAAACCAGTAAATAGTCCATAAACAAGCTCCCCACACAAGATACAACCATGAAAGCAGGTTTTAGCCTGCTCAGATTTCACAATACATGTGAACAGTAGCTCTAAAAACTGCCTCCCATCCTCAGGACTTGTGAGGATTAATATCTCATTGAACTGCCAATGTTCCACAATAAGGACAAAATAGTTTTGTCCCCCTTAATCTGAGGTTAGACATCCGACATAACTATTATGGCAATATCCAGGTGTCTAGTTTCTCAACAAGGTTGAAAAGTGTGATACGACAGTAGTCGAAACACAATTACTGACTATCATCTTGGATCAGAGGCACAGTGTCCAATTCCATGCAACGTTTCACAAGCATGTTAACAAACCAAGCTCAACACCATCCAGGGATCGAAGGAAACCAGGAAAATTCCATTCTACCTTAAGCCCCTACTGCAGCTGAGTCGATTAACTATTTTAGCCACTGCTACCACATCAGATTGTTCATCAGCCAGATCAGAGCATTCTTTTCTGTTCGGCATTTCTCTCACTTCCAGACTTTGGTCAGCCACAATGCAGAGTCATCGGAAGGCTTGAAAGACTCAAAAGCCTCACACTGTCTTCCCAAAGTAAATAAAAAAATTTATGTGAATGAATTTTAAGGGTTTGTAAACTGAAATAACAGTAAAAAAAGAACATTTTAGCAGGGCATCCAATCTATTTCAGCTATCCCCCTAACCCTACAGATAGTATCTCAGTGTCTAAAATCATAATCAAATACATTTATTTTTGAGACATCTCACACCTCCACTTGCGGTGGATTGAAACCCATATTGTAAACTCTGCCACTTCTTGGATGGATCCAGCGGTCACTCAGTCGCTCTTTCAGAGTCTCGTAGGGGATGTTGAGGCTGATGACCAAGTCGAGCTGATACCGATTGTTCAGGGCCTGAGCCTGTGCCAGTGTGCGGGGAAAACCTGGACACATGTAAGAGGGAGAAGCCAGCATTTGTCAGAAAATGATAACCAGGAACAATGACTTTTGTATCTCTGTTATTTATAATCAAAATTTTCTCATGGTGTCAGTTTGTAACAAATAGGAGGCATAGTTAACGCAAATTATCTATAATTTCTAAGTTTCAGACTGAACTTTTTTCTGCTCAAATGTTGCTATTAGGAGTCTGAGGTGGTTGACATCTGAGATTTTCAGAGATAATGTTCTGAAGCTGTAAAGTCATAACAGGATCCTGTACTAGCGAGCGAACTCATTGAAAAAACAAAGCATGAAGTCACACAGCATGGATCAGCCAGCAGTAATAACAAGGCAGGGATCAACAGGCATGCTTACATCTCTGTGAAGCTGTATGCTTCCAGAGGTGAATCCTCATATCAGCACATGTCTCCAACTTACAACATTAACTGTAGCTACCACTTCTTTTAGCTCATTAGCATCGTAATGTTGACTTGGGAATGGTGGAATTAATATAAAAGCCCAAATAAATGCAAATAAATAACTCCCAATAAATAATGCGTAGCATAGTAACTGATTAACATCCCGAAGGCAGTAGGACATTAGATTCATGATGACACACGAGTAATTAAATTCAGATGTCTTTATTTGTGTGTGCATAACCTGCACATACACCAGATCTTTGCCTATTCTCCACTTGCTCAATTACTTGTTTACCAATCTTGTTTCAAGGTTTAAACCTTTTCACTAGCTTGTTTGTCAATGTTTGCCATCACTTTCTATCACATTAGGTAATGCCTAATCCTTATGAACCTTTGGGGACCCTGCGATCTGGTTTCTCTAAGTAAGCCAACAAAACGGTGAATATGACCTCATTTTGGTGATATTTTATCCAAATGTGATGCATTTAATTGGATGTGTTGTAAATAACTTTAAAGTTTTTATTTAAAATACTGAATAAGAGTGATAAAAGGGTTTATATGAATGTGAGCTTCCATGCTAGCAGAGCTACAGAACTTCTGTTTGAAAAACATCTAGAAAATGTTCATATGATCCATGACAATTACCAAATTTATATTAGTATTATAGTATTATAAAGGCAATAAAACTACACAAGTGTATAAGATTATTTTTGAACATATCATTCCACAATAATAAAAAAAATAGAAAAAAACAATTGGATGCCTTTTGACATCAAAAGCTACATAATCCACTTGATTTAAAGGAAGAGGGCCTAATGAACTGGCTTGTCTGTTGTCTGTGAATACATGTAACAACGTTATGTTTGGAGGAAAATGCTGCAATACAAAGTTGAAATCAAAACATCATCCCAGTTATGAAGCACAGATTAGTTTGCTTCACAGTTTGAGGTTGGTTTGCTACTACAAGGCTTAGAATTCAAATATGTCCAGACTTTTCACAGGAGAGTGCTAGGGCAGCCATCTGTGACCTGGAGGGGTTAGGCGGTGCAAGAGCCCAGTGACCCGAGGCACACAAGTAAATGAGAAACAGAAAAGTTAAAAGAGAAGAAACTTCTGAAAAATCAAACGTATATATTGCCAAAATTGTGTGGTACAAATAATCCAGATCGGACACTTGCTTCGGGAATAGGAGAAAATTATATGAACTGTGGAGATATCTAACCTCTAAAGACTTACACATACTGTAGGAATTGAAAAGTGTAAAAAACTGCCTCCATCCACTTGCTTTGGCTCAATGAAAATAGGTCCTGAGTATTGTTTGGAACTAACTCTGAATAGATTAAAACATTTAAAAAACAAACGCATAGATTTGGTGGATCTCACTGGAACAAAAGTGTAAAATTAAGTTTTAATGGAAACCCTGAGTTGTAGTTTTGATAAAACTTTACTACTTTAAGATGCCTTTCAGCTTTCTCAGACTTGTGGGAAGAAGGTAATGCAAATCAAATGTGGTGGAATTGATGATAAAAAGGTGTAAAATGTGCAAAAATGTGCTTGAGAATGGCCCTGCCTCTCTCTGCTACCATGGCCATCTACTATAGGATTTTGAGGGGTGGCATCTTTTTTGGCCAATCAGATTTAAGGGATCCCTGGTAGTTCCCACCACCCACTATGGCTGTTTAACAAAGGGCAGTGATTTATTTCTTTTTTTTTCAAATCAAACATTCAAGAAAAACAATAAAAGGTAAGAATGCAGAATTGTGGTTTATGTTGTTCCTCATTTGAATGAGTTGAGTATAGACAGAGGCCCAGTAACAAAAGCATGGATTGTCTTACCATCCAGCAGGAAGCTGTGGCTGCTCAGTTGTTCCAGTTTGGACAGCATCAGTCTGGTCATCACAGGGTCAGGCACCAGCATTCCTCTCTCTATGTAGGTCTTCGCCATCACCCCTGCCTCTGATACAAAGCAAACAGGTAAAGATAGGCAAAGTGTGTTTATTTCTGCTTCCTGATACCGAGGTTAAAAAACAGGACAAGGCAGAACAGAACCGGTCCTATCCTTTGCCACCATCTCTGCCACAGCTGCATGACACTTTTCCTACTTTATTCTTCGAAACTTAGACTTGAAAACTGTGGGGTCTACTGTTAACCGTCACAAAGGCCTACACATTCACTAAGAGTCAGAGGGCATCAAACAAATAATCCTCTCGATTTCACAGGGCCAGCAGGGAAAAAGGGGAAAGGGTGTAGTTACTCTTTCAAACAAGTCTCCACTTTACTGGCTCCCTTCAGCAACACAGCACACATGCTTTTACTTAAGCTCTCTGCACCAAACTCAACTTTACTGTAAGTAGCTATATTTAAGCCTGGCACATGCTTGGAATTAAAATTATTCCAATTGGTTTACGTCACACGAGGACGCATAGAGATAAAAGTAACTGATGGTGGAGGAAATGATGATAATTAAGCTGACTGTGGAGCTATAAATGAAGCAACACTTTTTTCAACAGTTCCCCAGAAAAAAAAAGGAAAGTATTCATTGTTTTACTTTTCAGCTCTAAGGAAACAACTGAGGAGCAGATCATTGCCTATAGTGCATCATGCTACCACCTTTCTCAACTATTTGACAAATTTGACAAAATGCAATAATCACAAGATGTATACATGCGTCACCAGAAAAAAGGTCGTTTTTTATTTTGGCAACTTGTCCCTGTTGACACCACAGAACCGACGTTTCTTACCTGTGTTGGCTGCGATGCCCTCTCGTAAAAAGTGGCCACTGGACAGGTACTGCAGGCCAAAGCTCTGAGCAATCCTCTTGGATATCGTCCCTTTCCCTGAACCAGGCGGACCCATAATAGCAGCACGGAAAAACTTGGCCATGTCTCCCCTTCCAAAACAGGTCGCTACTGTTAAAGGTAAACAAAAGAATATCTGATGACGATTCGCCTCCTTGTATTATGATCTTATCTATTATATTAATTCAACTCCTGTCAGTTGCAATCGATAATGATGAAAACTGGTAATAAAGACAAATTCGCCAGTAACAAATGGAGTGAGTCTCTGGAGTTTGCGGGTCGTGGCGCAGCTCTGCACACTCAGTGCGCTTCAGGACTGTCCAGCACTTTGACGCGAAAAAAGTCAAAAAGCCTTTTTATCCCCTTTTTCCCCCTCTCTGCTCTATCCCTCTGTTGCTCGTCTACGTCTTTAAGAGCAGAACCTCTCCTCCGCGAATGAATGAGGGAGTCTCCACAACGCCCTACTTTTCTGGACACATCATCCAGGAAAAATGCGGATGAGGGAACTTCGCAAGGTGACCTGGTCACTGTAGTTTTTACTCTGGGAAATGATGCGGAGTCGAATAGGACAATGGCCCCAGCGATTTGAGGACATAAAAAAGTTATGGCAAAGTCTATCTATTGATCTAGGAAATACAGGCCACTGTGTTTTGAGAATATCTGTATTCACATGGGACTGTACAGGCAATCAGTTAAAGTCCCTTTAAACATCATTTTCAAGTGAACTTGGGAGATGCAAAAACAGCTAAATCAGTCCAACATTTGCACTCAGACTCTTTAGGAATCCAAAGAAATATTAATATATTGATCATGTCCCTCCACGCTGAATGTCTTGATTATTTTTACCCCAGAAACAAAACATCCGGTCAGTCAATTGCCAAATAAATCTTGAAGATATTCGTATCACGTCTGCAGTTTAAAAATTCGGTCAGTTATTCGGAAAACAATTCTAAAAAGTTGACATTTCAGACTTGGCTTGGGAGATAAATGAAGTGGGAATCCCTCTCACACCGGTTGCCCCAGCATTTGGTAAGGAAAGGGGGGGCTCATTTTCAGTTTCAACCACTTGTTGACAAGCGTATTAAGCGGATCATTACATTATATACATCTTTTTGCCAATGTGGGCTGCTCTGTCTCTCTCTGTTGGAATCAAGAAAAAATAAATATATAAAGGGGTGGAAAAAAACACACACCACATGAGTGGTTGTCATTTGCGGACGGCAGGAATCTAGTAAGTACTTGTTGCGAACCATACGGCGGCGGCAGCGTCCCGAGCTGTCAAATATTGCGCACAGCCTTCAGTCGCAGTCAGTGGAGTAACCGGACTAATCCATCAGACAAACAACTCACAAGATTAACCTTTTTTTTTCTTTTTTTTTCTACCCTGGCGAAACTCTATTTTGCCTGCGCACCCGGAAGCGTGCTTTTCCATTCTGATCATTTCTGTCACATGGCTTTGGAGAATTCAATAACAACAAAAAATGGCGACAATCACGTTGCTCCGTGTGGTCTTGCTGCGTCATTAAAAATATTCATGTAAACACGGGGAATTCAGCGGGGAAATAGCCGGTAAGTTCGCTCAACGTTTGCTGCGTGTTCGGCGGAGGCTGCGTGGAAGTCAGAGTAAATGATTATATTTGGATCCAACCGCATGCTGTTTGTTTTTACCCAGAAAAAGGGGTGTGTGTGTGTGCAACGCTGGGCGTTAACGTTTGGCTGCACATTACCTTGTTATTGCCTTCAGTCGCCTTTTGTAAGACTGTCTGCTGCGCATTACGAGCAATTATGCGCGTTGTTGTTTGTGGACAGAAAGGGATGGTGGAGAGTTTGCATTGGGTCAACTTTTAGTTTCCGATTTGGCTGAATTATTTCCAAACACAGATAAGCAACAAGCTGTGGTACTGCTTCTGTTAGTCCCTCCGTTGTGCTCATTCTGAGGCAGAAGTGTCTGCGGGCTGTCGCTGCCCGCCACCGTGACAGGTATTATTCTCCCCTTATTTACGCTCAGGGTTTACGCAACATGGACGCGCGTCCATCTGGGGGGGATTCTTTCTACGTGTCATTGATGCAGAACAGTCATGGCTTTTTTTGTTTTTTTCTGTTTTAAATAAGAGTGTTTGCCCTGTGCACTCTTTAGTTAGAGTTGTTACAGTGATTGCACATGTTGCTTTTGCTGCGCACGTCTAACGTTGTGGGCCAGTGCCCTGCGCGTCGGGGGCTAATGGGGTTGTTTACATGAAGTGCAGAGGGCGGACTGAGGAGGAGGAGGAGGAGGAGGAGGAAGAGGAGGAGGAGGAGCAGCTACGTCGGCCAGCGACTCAACCCGGACTGCTCGAGAGGTTTTCTGGCGTCGACGAGGGCGGAGCTTTCCGAGAGAATCATAACAAGTCTGACATCACCCAGCCTTGTGGTTGGTATGAATAATATACAGCAGTTAGTCTCGAACAGAGCACTCAAAAAGGTCCCAGTGAGAAAGAGGCGAGAGGGGGAAGTCTTTGTACCCTTTACTGTTTTATGAGATGAAACATTAAGGAGCCTAATGTGCTGCAGCACAATGCAAGCAAGACTAAAATAATCATGATCCTTTCATATGAGAGACATTTAAAGTAATGCAAATGCAATACAAGCAAACATTCAAACTATGGTCATGTTTCTGTATGACTAAGCATGCTACCTTTAACAGATTTTTTTTAATAACACATGTTAAACTTATTTCCACTTAGCATTCAATTAGGTTCCAATGGTAATTGCTATGTTTAAGCCTTATCTGTTTGTGATTATGTCTGTGAAATGTCTTTTAAAAGACAGAATTAATAGTTGTTATTACTTGGATCTGAGCATAAGCCTGCACTGAAACATTGCAACATCTCAAACTTATTTGATACGATGATGTTTATTTTAATTTTTCTCAGAAATGTACATTTTCTTACTCATTTCTTACATATTTTGTAATAGGGCCGAATGTCATTAGTAAACACGCTGAATTGAAGGATTTTGCAGTTACATGACTGGATCTGATACAGTCTTGGTTGTGAGTGTGTAGTACTAGAAAAGTAAATAAATAAAATGCAGTTACGCATGATACTGGTTATTGTTGCGGGAGCTGTTAAATGTAAAATAATGAATTTGCACCAAAAGCCAGGCAGCAGCTCAGATGAAACGGGTGGAAGACAAATGGGCCAAAAACCACGGACTGCTAGATCTGACAGGCTGCCCTGGTTCAGTTATCACAGTGCTGATGCTGTCCCCATCGAAGGTACAGTACTGTGATAACTGAAGGATGGCTGCCAACTTGACACGGATACAGTGGCCAGCGTGCATTCTGCAAACAAGAGGACCAAAGAGCAAGTGAAGAAAGTTTACTATGTAAACAAAAAGCTGAGTCTGATTAATAAAAGTTAAACAGGGCATCCAGAAGTCCATGAGTTTTTTTCTTTATTAAGTTTTTTTGACCTTGTCAAATCTGCTGCATTGTAATATGATTATAAAACCTGAAAAATACATCTGTCCTCATCACTGCAAATAAATATTAATTTGCTTTTTAAATTATAGAGGTTTTTGCTCTAAGTGAAGTAAACTGATGAAACAATGTAATAAAGATCTTTTCTTTGATCATATTTTTTATTATTTCGCAACATCAACAAAATAAACAAAAAAACACATAATTACTACAGACTACAGTAATTGATAAAACAAAATAAATTTAGATTGTGCTAATCTTTATTTCAAAATCAAACGTAGATCATTTTGACCATGTTCCATTTAGTGTTTTACAAGCAGAGAGAATGAATGAATGCTGCCGGCATTTCATCTCCCCAGTTCTTAACAGTTTATTTTACAACCACTCAGTAGTTTACCTTTTATAACTGTGGCAGACATGTGAATGTAAAATCATGAAAAGTGTAGACTTTAAAAATCTCACTTATCACGTCAATATGAAAAAAATGAACCCATATTAATAGCCTGGAGGTGAATGCTCAATTTTTACCATTTCACCAAGTTGGAATAGATAAGAAATCACCAAAGAAGTGTGGTGCTCTGTACTGTTTAGTCCTGAAAAGCTGATCCACATTGCTGCCAGCAGGGGGCGCTACGTTCATTATTAATGTGGTTACCTGTTGAAACGTTGTAGGTTTCCTTTTAAATGTATTTTGAAATGTTTTTTCTGAAACCCAAACAACAAAATGTTATTGCTAAAGTTAGAGGATAAGCATTTATTAGCTGTCACTCATATATCTCCATTATGTAGTTTGGTTGTTTAGCCAAACTAACACAGGAGACTGCATTTTCCATATGATATTGAAACAAGGCAGCAGTTCAACAGAATCCATCAAACCTGTCTATTGTGTGACTGCTAAAATGTCAATTTTTCTACGAGCTGCTGAGTTATCGTTACGGTGACAGTGGCTATAGTACAGTACAGAGGTTATCCATGCTGTAATACGTGAGTGCTGGGATGAATAATGTCTCTCAGAAGATGTTTGAGTCAGCCACCTGCTATTAATATGTTTCTCTCAAAGGGTACATACTGTTGCTGTTCTGTGGAAATCCCCAAAAGAGCCACGGTACTGTGTATTTTGTTTTTGTCTAACTTCAACTCCATTCTGCTAATCTCGACTTGTTTCACGTGTTTCTCTCTGAACCGTCACAACCAGATACTTTTTTAGTTATCAGTCAACATGAAAGTCAAGTGGGTACTTGCCTGGAAAGAGTTATTCACTAAATGAAGGTTAGCGGTAAAGTTCACTAATAATGATGAAAACATGTTTAAATAGGGTCAACATCTAAAAGTTCTCACTCATTTAATATCCATGATCAGAGGGAATTCTCTTCTTTGTACATACCTTAAGAGAGGCCAGTATGTGAAGAGTGGATCAGGCTATATGGTAAGTCCCTCTCTCAAAATGAAACAACCCTTTTGATGTTTTTAAATTAAATTTCCCTTGTTATTTCAATGCAAGGGGAAAAGTAATCCAATTTCTTAAACTTAAGAGTAAAATTGCGCCGGCACAGTTGATACGTGCTCAAAAATTACATAAAAACATAGATTAGATAGATAGACAGCGATGTCACAGCAATGTCTGTTTGAAAGTTATAAGCCAAAAAATAAATCAATTAACCCAATTAGTCAACATTTCATTTGAGGGCACAAAACACAGTACATACACTTTCCTTTCATAAAATTAATACATTTGCCAACAATTATAACAAGGAGATAATCTCTTGTTTTGTGCTAAACTAGGCCAGTTCAAACACAGATTTATCCCTGCTTTAACCAATAAGGAGTTTGGAAAGGCTGGATATACCAAAGGTCAGCAGGCAGGACACACACTGTCTAAGTCAACAAGCCAAAAGAAAGGCTTAAATACACTCTAATGCTCACACCTACAACCAAATTCAAAGCACAGATTGATTAAAGGTAAGGTGAATCAGTTATCCACACTACCTGATTCTAAGCTTGTTTTAAGTGCCCTTTTAAAAAGGTTCTAATAGCCCTGGGATTCTTGACAATCACAATGAAGATGACTCAGTCATCAATGGAAATAAAAATGTAGGTGTTGAGAAAGTTTTAATTATGCAAATGGGAAAGGTTATAAAGATGCATAAGTATATAAAAATGCACATGTTTGATATTGCTGAGATCAGGACTTGGAAGAAAATACTAATATTTTGCCCTCAAAATGATAAATGAAACCATCCACACTAAGAAGGTGTACATAAATGTCAAGTTCCCAACAGTGAAAGTGCTCATTGTTCACACCTTTTGTCCAGTTGAATCACTCTGACTTATCAACATATTTATTTAAATAATAAAGAACTTGTATTAGAAAAAAATAATTGTGTGACTGCAACTAGGTTCATTTTACTGATTGTTTGTAATCCTAAAATTTGTATTAATTTTGACAAATGTAAGTTTGTAAAACTAATGGAATTACGGAGGAGGTGATATCATGGGAATCATAGGAAAGGGCCTTACCTTAAAATCTAAAGTCACCCAAAAGAATGTGACGCGAGGGCTGAAAATGCACAAACACAAGCCTGTGTGGTTCAAATCAAAGTAAACCACCGTGACATTCAGTTGGTCAATATTGGCTTATCGAGCTGACTGCGTGCCAACTCAGCCTTTAATGCACGTTAAAGGATTGAAGACAAGTGAGGGGGCAGCGTCAGCGTTGGACAGAGAGTCAGGGAAAAGCATCAGCAGCACGTCAGCGGTGGGTCGTAGACACATGACACCAACCCTACCGGAAACGATCTGCATAGGAAAAACTGCAAACCCTGCAACATGATCGTCTATAAATGGATACTCGTTCACTGCTAGGAAAAGTCCATCTATAGGAGACTGATACCTGCAGGAGCAGCGGAAGTCTGGCAGGGATGGGCGTGTCCCAAAACCGGGGGAGTGTGATGACTACCATCCACTGACTGTTCTCCACAGACTACCACACCACCAGCACGTAGCCTCCGAGCAGAGGGAAACCAAAAATGCCTATTCTGCTACAAATATAATGGTCACGAGAGAAGCCATGGACGACGTATGAAATGATCCCCTGTACGTTGTTTTATGGAGTGTTGATCGGCTGTAGAAAATGAGACATTAAGATAGGAATACCTCGATGAGATTACAATTTAAGGTAAACACTTCTCTCTTTTTGGATTTGTAAAACACGGACATGGTTTAATTTGACAGGTTTTATTAAAAATGAATAAACATCAGTAACATTCTACCCATCCATGTATCATTAAACAAAAATAAATCCATAAGCAATAGTTCAAACTCACTTTTGGTTTTTGCTACTTTTGAAATTTAAATGGACAACTTCTCTTTTAAATCTAGTTTAAAAACTGAAAGATAAGTCTTTTATAATCAGTGATTTACATGACTTAAACACTTGAATTTTACCAGTTTGATTTGAATGTGATTATCTTGAAATGTTGATATAGATATATTATGGTATTTTGTTTTTCCAAGATTGGTGCTGTTAAGATAACATTATTTACTTGGAATCTAATGTTTTGGTAAAATTGATTCTTTAAGTATTATTCCATGAAAATCAAAGTGTGTGCCTAATTCTCAAGGAGAAATTTAATAAACTGTTGGATTCTGTTAGGGCTTTCCCTCTTAACAAGTTTGAATTAATCTACTTTTAAATCTTCACATGATATTGGTATATTTTGTGTTTTGTGATAATTAGATTTGTTGTTATATATTCCGTTTAATAGTTTAATGGGGAGAAAAAGTTTAGCTGCTGAAAGAATTTGCTAGTGTGAGAGTTTGTTTTGCCTCAGATCGAAAGGGTTGTGTCGTCATCTTGAGTGATGGGTTCTTCAACCAATCATCTTTCAAGCTCACCGAGTCTATTGCGTTATTTTCGGGAAAGGGGACGTGACCTGTCAGGAAATGTATCTGGAACGGAGAAAGAGTTCGTGTGTAGCGTAGGTTATCTAACAAAAGAAAAACTGTAGCATTTACTTGTCTGTTCGGATGCTGGACATTTTCATAAATAATCTTATAAACTTAAACGGACGACAGAGGGTACATTGAAGCCCTGGGGAAGCACCCTAACTTGCCTGAGGAGTCTAAATGCGCTAAACGATACGGAAGTATCGTGCCAGCTGTCTGGCGAAGCTTTCTTGGTGAGTAAATAACCATTTAATAGAAATGTCGCTTTTTAACTCACTCTGGTATTCTTGTTAGTAACAAACACCTTCTTGTTTATATGTTACCCCGTTGTTATGAAGTGTTTGGCTTGTACTGATTTCGACCCTTTGATTAACTTGCTAAGGAGCTAATAGGAACGAATGTCAGCCGACTTCTCGGCAGTGACTGCGCTCGTCGTTAAAGGCGAAACACTTTATATGTTTAGATGATGAAAGTACTCGAGGTTATTGACTGAGAATGAAAGATTTGAGATAATACTATTGTCTGCTTTGATAAATTGTTTTATTAGATTGATCTATTTATTCAAGTTTTAAAAAATGAAATGGTTTGCTCTATGGGAATAAATTAAGTGGAGAAAGTGAAAATAAACACCCTTTGTCGCTTGTGATAAGACTGTCTTGACATATTTTCGGTTTTGTTATGGACCAGGATAATTTCTTGGAACACAATTGCGCCTATCCAACACCTAAAGATGAATAACTTCAGATTAACAAATCAGGTTATTGGCATCTGGAATTGATCACATGTACAGAAGAAGCTTAGACGAATATATGTTGATCATATGATTCCACACCTGTGTAATTTTACTAAATGTATGGTCAAAACTATAGGTTTGATGTTTTTAGATTTGGTTGTTCTCAGTTATTTTCTATATGAGTATAATCTATTAAGCCTACAGTCATTTAGCTTGTGATTTATGGTCTACTTGACACATGAAGAAGCCAACATGGCCCCTGCATTTTTCTGATCCGGCCTCAACAACAACTGTTGACTTAATCATCAGACGTTCAGTTGTCCAAATCCAAATAACATTTCTCACTGATAGTGAAAAGGAAATATCAGCAAAAGTATCTGACAGTTGCAAAGGGTGTCTTTGTAATATTGATGCTTGCACTGGCTGGTGTATTTATTCCTGCTCACACACAGCAACTGAAACAATTTTATGGTGTTACTGTTGCATAGGAAATTTCCTCTCAAGCGATGGGAGGAGGAGTGGGGGGGGCCCTCCTCTGTACCCTTTGATTAAATTTTAACTGTCAGACTTTGCACATGCAATATGTGTTTTATTGTCATTGGTTTGAGCCACTGCCTGGTCCAGCTGTTATCGTGGCTCAGAGCTCATGCACACGTTTAAAACTAGTGTTGTTGAACTATAGTTATTTGCCTATTACACTTGAAATCAGCTTGATGCTGCATTTGTTTGAAATTAATAATACAATTTCTATTGTGATGCTTAGCCATAGTATCAGAAAGTGGAAATTTTTAACAATTTGATCTTAGTGGGGCAGACATGCAGAGATCAGTGATTAAATGTTGACCTTTTTTTGTTGCATCAACGTGGCCTCTGTCACTCACCTCAGCAGCTGCAACAAACAATGGTAAAATTGCATTTCATAGATAATGAAGGGATCCAAACCATTTATTTTCTTATTTCTCTGAAATCAGAAGTTTATAATAATAATTGCCATTGATTACTGTGTGAAAATATAACCTTGCTTAGCCTTTGCTGAAGTTAAATTTAGTTGCAACTGCTGGTATGAGAAGAGAAGTCCAGGGTAAAAGGGATGAGATAAGAAGAAGGGAGTAGGGGCTGTGAAGGTCAAGCCACTGAGCAGAGAGCTAAGAAGATGTGTGGGGAGAAGTGTTGTGCTGTTTGCAGGTGCTTGAGCGTTAAAAGGTGATAGGAGTTAACTGAGAGGTAGTCAGATACAAGGACCAATAGAAGACCAGGACATTGCCTTGCACATTCAATAATTATTTCAGTATGTATTACGGGGTCAGGGAAACGGCAGCCTGTCAGATTCCACGAACTGACACAGCTTTTTTGTTGATCAGGGGGAGGAAGTTGTTCCTGAGCTCTGTAACCTGAATTTGTTTGCTTCATAGAAGTAAACGCCTCAAATAAGAGGCGTCGATGCATACTTCTTGCCAGTTAAAAGAGGACGCTTGTTTCAATATTGGTGTTTTATTCTAAGTTTAGTATTCATATTGATTCCATGGTGGAAAGCTAAGGTTTTTGCCAAGGAAATGTCTGTATATTATATTTTTTGTCATGACTAAATATGGATAAAGACCTCCCAGATTTTGATGTGAAAGTTGTCAGTTTTCTTCATAAATGAAAAGTGCTCAAATGTTTTCATTCAGGATCTTGTTTGTGCATCAGCCATAAACTGAACTGAGGCTTCATCAGCAGATGAGATGAACAAGTTATAAGTATATTTCTTCAGCTTGTGATGTCATCACATGGCTGAGCATGCTGATGTTGTAATGTTGTGTGGTTCCTGTTTGCCATGAAGCATATGAACATGCTTTATTACAGGAATCAGTCACAGCGTTTTTCTCTGATTTACAGCCTACACAGAGCAGAAAGAAGACTTGGGCATTATTGTATTCCACTAATAAATATGAACATGCAAGTTGACAACTTAAATTATGTTAATGCATTTAGTAAACACTTTGTTCATAAGTGACTTATAATGCAGACACAGAATATTATATTTTATGTGTATATCTTTTGAATTATGACCACCACTGACATTCAGTGCTGTTTGGTTGAGTATACTTGGTAGTAGGAGTGCTTACACACTGCACAACTTTGAGACATGACTCAGTAAAGGTCTTTTCTCTAGAAATCCAGCTGCTTTGAAACAGATGTCGGTAATGTTAACGGCATAAACACTGACCACTGACCACACTGATCACAAATGTGATTCATTCTTTTTTGTGACCTTTAAAAGAAGAAAAAAAAGGCACAATGGACTTAACTAATCTGGTGCTAAGAATATGTTGTTGATTATTTATTTAGGATGTGATGAGTCCTTATATTTTTCCCTTTCAATATCAGATTAATCTGTTGCTTTGGGAAATATCTCACACAATGCATTTCCAAGTTAGATTTACCCAGTTAGGATGTCAGTATTTGATGTTTTCAGTTGTTAAATCAGTGATTGTAGAGGAATAAGAATTATTTCCCTGTCAATCGCCCACGAGCCATGTTTTCATTATTTATTATTATTATTAATTTTTAAAATTATTATTCAGTAAGATTGAATTCTTCCAAAAAACACCCCAGAAGTGTGTTTCTGGGTGTGTAAGATCACATCCTGATCCTGTTGTGGTCTTGTGTTTTGGGTGTCATCAGGATCTTGCAGTGTTTATCAGACTTGTGTAACTTAAATCTTAAATCATGACACAGAGCAACAACATCCAAATTTACCTGCCCAACAGTTATTTTGGCTGGAGGTGTGGGAGCTGATCATTTAGCCTGCGGCGTTCTTCTTTTAACAATGATGTAGCATCTGAATAAGTATGTCTACTGGAGAGGCCTTGAGACTTAATTACTCTTTTGTTTTATTGTGTATTGCAGGTTTTTGTGTTTTTCTTTCATGTCCTGACGCCACGCAAAATGAAGTTCCGAATAAGTGAAGGATTGCTGCACACAGTTGCTGAACATAAATGTCAAATGTTCCAGTCTCACTTCTCTTCTTTCTGTTTTTCACTTCACTTACCCAGGATCTGAATGCCTGTTTCATGGGCGATGGAGTTGAGCAGGCAACTCTGTATGAAGATGAGGAAAAATAGGAAAGCCCAGCCCTCCGTTCCTGCTTCCTCTTCAGGCCTTGAGATCCACTTTTATATTCGCGAATCACCTGAACTGAAGTATTTGAAAGGATGCTTCACTGCTGAGACGCTCTGTGTTCATGCCGCGAAATATTGCAGTGAGTAGCTCGCCTGTTGTTTGGTTTACTAAATAATGGCTTATTGGTTGATTCTAATCTAATTTCAGTTATCATGTTTACGTTGAAAAGTTTACAGTAAATATAATATGAGGCGACGTGGGAGACAATGAAAGCCAATCAGCAGGTTTAAAGCCTGCTGAAATCCGGCAGACTTACACTGTTCTTTAAAACCAAAACTCACCTAGGAAAATGACACTCAAAAACTATTTTGCAGTGAAGTACTATCAACTGATTCTTTTGTTTAGATTTCCTGCTCAGCAACTCTGAAAAAAGTCAAAGTTTAATTATTGTGTGAAATGATTCTAATAGTCTGAATGTTGATCATTTTTCCTCTTTTGTCCTCCCTTCTTAGGAATCTCTCCCTTGTGCCATAACTTGTTTGCTCTGTACAATGAAACCACTCGCACCTGGTACCCGCCCAGCTATGAGTTCAATGTCACGGATGACACTTTTATCAAGTTACATTTTCGCATGAGGTAAGAACTATGTCACAATCAAGCTGAACATTATGATCTCCACAGTGGGGCAAAGACTCTCGGGCTGCATTCAGATCACAAGCTGTGAGAGGGGAAAGAAACAACAAAAAAATAGCGTTAAACGTGAAGTGACTGGTGTTAATAGCTCATTACCACATTAATGGAAAAGGCATGATTCACTTAATAATAAGTAAGCAGATTATACACCAATGCTAGATTTGCAGAGCAGTGACATGTTCAGTCACTTTCAGGTTATTTGAATGCAGCACATGTCTTAAAGAAGCTATTGTTTGGTAAGAGAGGACATATCAGACCTGTTTCCGATGTTGTGGTCTCGAGTTGCTTTGCTGAGAAGATGCTGCAGTTCTGTGACATCCAGTGCTGAGCTGGTTGACCCAAAAACATGAATTATTTATTGCAAAAGAAATCTGTGACTTATTAAAAATGTGAGAACGAGATACAGTCAAAGTTGATTTTGTGAGGCGATAAGTGTGATTCAGAAAAAGAGGAAGGTTGGCTCTTTTGTTGATCTCATAGAAAATATACGTGACACTAAAACTGGAAAGTGAAAGTACGGTAACCTGAGTCCTCTCTAAGGATGAGTAAGGAAAGTTTTTTTTTTTTAAAACCATGTTTGTGATTCACCCAGTTATTATGAAGAACACTAAGTTTCCGCTTCGAGAAACTGCTGCGTAGAATTTTATGCAAGCACAAAAGATTTTCAAAGTCAGTTACACTTCCTCTTTCTCAGTGCTTTGCTCTGACCAAAGTAAATAGTGAGAAAATTGCATATGCCTGGAGCTCAGTTGAGCCCTAAGAGTACGAGCTTCTGGCTACAACCTAGTTCTAAACCCAAATTCATATACTAACACTCAATCTTAATGTGGATTCATTTCTATCAATTAAGTAAGTAAGGCGAGCAATCAACAGCCATATAGGCCAATCTGTTGCTGTTCCAGTCAGTAGAAAAGGGAGTCTGATGTAATATTTTTAAAAGTCAGATAAGTCTGTTGTTTCACTGCACTGTATCGCATTAGCAGAGGCTTATGTGAGTATTTATTCTTGACTAAACTTAATGAGGCAAAAGTCTTTCTGTTTCCTGTCGGATACAGCACCAGTGCTTGTAAATCGTGAAGCACCAAATAAAAAACAAACCAGAAAGTTGTGGGCCAGTTCATTTTCTGCTTTCCAGGCTCTAAAATGCTAAACAGAAGGGTCTCAGTAGTGTGATTATTTAACTTCATTTGTGATTATGAGCATTTAAATATGAACTCTAGGTATTAATCTATGCACGGAAAGGCAACTTTGCTTTAAAGCCAGATTCCAGCTTTTAGCCAACAAAATTCCTAGGTTTCCTACAGGAAGGTGTGACATGTCTTTCCTCTTTGTCTCCCTGTTAGGTTTTATTTCAGAAACTGGCATGGAACTACTGAAGGAGAGTCCCCAGTTTGGAGGCACTGCATTAGCAAACTCAGAGGACAAAACCCACAGAAAACACCTGAAGGAACACCTCTTCTTGATGCTGGTTCCTTGGACTACCTGTTTGCGCAGGTGTGCTGTTTTCCTAAAAGCCCTCAGCCAGTTACAGAGACATTTCTAAAGTATCCCTGGGAAGTGCTTTCTCATTTCTGCCTTGACCATCTGCAGAGGGTTAAGCATGTTTAATGCTTTTTGACGCGTCTGTTTTGCATTACTCACATTCCAAAAATGTGCTAATGCTAAATGTTTTTCTTTTTGGATATTTGCTTGATAGATACAATTTTCTATTTTTTCTTTTCTTTTTTTTCTTTTTACTTCAACTGATTGTGAGTTATTTATTTTTTTTGTACAGAGTCAGGCTGACTTTCAGCAAGACGTGTTTCCAATGCGGGTAACCCATTCTGAGGCAGAGCAGCATGAGATGGAAAACGAGTGTTTGGGGATGGCTGTGCTTGCCATCACACATCTGGCTATGATTGATACCAAGCCGCTATCAGTTGTTAGCCATGAAAACAGGTAAAAAAACAAACACGCTGCAGCATCTGCTCGAACGGTGTGTTTTCCAGGTAACTTGTACTATGATCTTAAAACAACACTATGTCCCTTAGCTATGCAAATGTTCTCCAGGTTAACAAGCAGTGGCACTAACCTCTATTATTTCACAGAATGCACAACACAGTTACATCTTATATCGAGTTTGATAAAATAAACTGAGTAAATGTAGCAGTTAAGTGCATTTGCACAACTGGGACAAGGACGATGGCCCAGTCAGATGTACAAGCCAAGCTGATTTCATAAGTTGACTCGATTGTGCCTCATAACCTTTGTATTTATTGTGCCACCCAAGAAGAGAATGGCCATCAGCAGAGTCATGATGAGATGCAATAAACCGCAACATGGCACTTTAAACTTGACAAACTCTGATAGTGTCCCTGTATTCGCTCTGAAAGCGTCAGCTGCTTATTGAAGTTGTTTGTCTTCACTTAAGCCTTGTGTACATCTTAAATGTAAACCTGTTTATCCTTTTGAGTAACAGTGTCCAAATTTGCATTGACCAGATGTTTATTTCCACTTGTATACAGATGAGTAAAAATGAGTAAAAAGTTTATTTTGGGACCTGGGTCAATGTTGACCCAGGTCCCACATGAAAAGGAGCATTGAGCTTGTAGTAATGTATTCATTTAGTCTTCTTTGTATTTGGATATGTTTAAATGTTTTTTCCTTTTTTAATCCCAGTTTACATACACCTGACACTGTTAATTGGTTTACAACCTTTATTTTTATGTCTAAAATCTATTATGGCAGATTATCCTTGGTTTAGAATTATCCCCATTATATCTACTAATCGCTTCCAGATATTGGAATATACAGTGCAAACAGTTGGCATACATTACAAAAACACTAAAGCAGGAATCTCTCTCTTGTTTTTAATGCCACCAGCTACAAAGACTTCATTCCAGATTCGCTGAATCGCACCATCAAGCAGCGCAACTTTCTGACACGTATTCGCATCAATAACGTGTTCAAGAAGTTCCTGAACGAGTTCAACATCCGAACGGTTCAGGACAGCAAGATTACTCCCTATGATCTGAAAATCAAGTACCTGGCCACATTGGAGGGGCTGAGCAGCAGCCTGGGCAGTGAGGTCTTCGAGCCACTCTCACTCAGTGTAGTGCAGGAGGAAGAGCTCTGCAATGGAAATAACTATGGTGAGAATCCACTACATGCTGTTTGTATGATGGTGCTGTAACTGTCAGCAGTATATGTACTGTCACATACTGCTATCCTCGACCAAAATTCATATTATTGCATGTTTTCATTGCTTTCAGTTGTTTGCTCTGTTCCCATACATACCAGTGGTGTCATCCACAGTCATGTCATAAAACACAAATGTTTGACCTTATTATGATCAGTAAACACTGTTTGTAATTGTTCATATAACATAAAAAGTCACAAGTGAAACAAAAGGATGTTTTGAAGCCACGCTTGATGGAGTCTAACAACTCTATAAAGAACTGATACCAATTTTTTTTCTTCTTTTTTTAAGCTGAGAAACCAGTTTAACATTTGAAATGTCATACAAAGAAAGTCCTCGTGGCTAAAAGAGAAAAAAATTCCCAGGATTAACTCATAAATAACTGTCATCATTTTCCAACAATCTATGAACATGTTTTGTTTCTGTGTCAGAGCCTTTTATGTGTTTATTTCCTGTTTTCAGGCTATTCAAATCAGAGCCAAGGCCAAAGCCTGAGTCAGAACATAGAGACAAGTCTGGGCATGCAGGTCCATGTTACTGGTACGACTGGCATTTCATGGAGAAAGAAACCAACTACCGTAAGTAATGTACTGGGTTTTTTTGTTTTGTTTGTTTAGTTACATGGTGTAAAGTGACACAAATGAGTATCTGGCATGGGCATCAGCCCTTGAATGTAGATTGTTATCATTAAACTGCTGTGCAATGGCTCGGGCAGAATTTAGGTGTTACAGTTTGATCTGTGAAGTTGTTAATATCTGCTGCATTTGACTTTGAAACAGACATCTGTGATCTCCAAAGAAAAAGGGAAGTCAAAGAAAAGCAAGCAGGAAGGAAAGAAGAAATACGAACATAACAAAGAGGACAGTGATGGCTGGGTGGTTTTCTGTGATTTCTTTGAGATCACACACACAGTCATCAAAGAGGCAATGGTCACCATCAAAAGGCAGGACAACAAGAAGATGGTAAGGCATATGCATAGATACATCAAGGGAGGGGGTTATTTATGGATCTGTCTCTTTGCTGTACTTAAAGCTCTTCATAATTATCGTGACTTCACAGTGTAATTCTGACCAGTGTGAAATCAACTTTTCAAAAAATGTTTTAGGGATAACTGATTTGAATAAAATAGAAATACTTATTGTTTATTAAACAATTGTAATAATCTGCAACATCTTGATGATGCACTGCAGATTAAAACAAAGCCATGAGGAATGGTTAGATCATTCTTCTTCATGAAATGGGTTTGGGGTGTCAACATGGCTCCAGACTCGTTAAATATTATTGATATAAGCTCCCCTGGTGCATGATTCTTACATATCAACACTGTTCTTTTCAGGCAGTGCAGATGGTGAGCAGGGATGATGCTCTATCCTTTGCCGCCCTTGTGGATGGGTACTTCAGGCTGACTGTGGATGCCCACCACTACCTTTGCAAGGAGGTGGCCCCAGCCTCTGTCGTCTACAATATCAACAACGGTTGCCATGGACCTATCTGGTTTGTTGTGACAGATTTTTTGAAAGATGTGTATGAGTGTGTGTGTGTGTGTGTGTGAGAGAGAGAGTGAGAGAGAGAGGGCACAATCCGTTATATGGACTTGCAGTATTTATATGCATTTAACAACATCCTGAATGCTTTTTTTTTCCTGCCATGGAATTTGCAGCATCTTTTGATGTTTACTTGTCTAAAAAAGTAATTGCTAGATATTTTGTGTTCCATCCATGTAGGGGCGACTATGAAATATATATTACAAGGCCCGCCAATAGTACTAAAACCAATTGTCCCAAATTGTAATTTTAGTTCAGAAAAAGTGCAATAATGCATCATGGCTATTTCCCTTCACAGCACTGAGTATGCCATGAGCAAGCTACGCCAGGAGAGTAACGGAGATGGTTCCTACATCCTGCGTTGGAGCTGCATTGACTACGAGAACATCATCATCACAGTCGTCTGCCATGAGGTACTGTTGCTTTTCTTTTTCTATTAGGTGTTATAGTACCATTATTTGTTCCTCACTATAAAATCTAGCGAGTATACTCATTTTGCCATGTTAAACTTTAAATTGCACTTAGTATCATCATACCAAAGATTACCAAAAGATGGAATTTTAAAGCCCAGTCGGTAAAAGTGGCATCAAACAAAAGACACTTGTGTATCTCACAAAAAAATAAGTCACATGCATACACACACAGTGGACTGAACATTGTATTTGGATACTGAAGTGATTACAGGAAGGTAAGTTGATTACTGATAACTGCAGTTCCGTGTGTCAGGATGGGAGGAAACCTCCATATATGCATACAGATGTACATCCACACTGTTGTGTTCTAAATTTATTTTACTTTTTTTACTAAAATGTTTTGTGTGTGTATATGTCTAAACATGTGTATACTCATTTGTTTTATTAAGGCTTATTCTTCAGTCTCATGTTGGATTCCTATATTTTTCTTTTTATCATTTTCTATTCTGTATCAAATGTTGTGACTGTGGGAGGGTTTAAAGATCAATCACCTTTCTTCATCCAGCATGATTTGAAGGAGTCTCGTGAAACTCGCCAGTATAAGAACTTCCAGATTGAGAGTGTACCGACAGGGTTCCGCCTGTTCGGGACCGACACCCTGCGGCCTACTCTGAAGGAACTACTGGAGCACCTGGAGGGTCAGAGTCTTCGCACAGAAAACCTCAACTTCCACCTGGTTCACTGCTGCCCACCACAGCCACGAGGTAATCATGCATTAAAAGCATTCACACCAAATGAACACACAGTTTTGTAAAAACCCTCTTATCGGGGGCAGAGAATCCCAGACCTGAGCAAACAAACATTCTGCTATGCGTTTCGCTGCTGTTTTTAAATATTCATTTAATACATTTTTGATAACGCACGATTTAAGATATTTCCTTTCCAAAGACATCAAACCCAGCACAGAAGTTCGTGACTACTGACAAGTTAACATGTTGTATCAAAAGGGAAAAGACAATGTTATAAGCAAGGAAAACGCAGATTTGTGTCCAGTCGTGCTTGGAATGAAAAATCACTTAAAAGCTGTGTAAAGAGAAAAAAGGGAAAAGAACACACAGAAAAAGAAAACTGCCCCAGATGTAATAAGTTCATTTTACAGCATACAATGGCGTGTTAAAATAACTTTTGTAAGAGAAGCCTTTGTGCTGTGTCATGTTTGTTATGTGGACCAGGCAGATAATTGCTAAAATGTGAACGAACAAGTTGTTTAACTGAGAGAGGAATTTATGGGACAAGTGACTTCAAACTGATTTAAATCATCACAGCAAATTGCTTTATAGATAATTCCTCTACAGATCAAAGCTGGATTGGGAGTTTTTTGACAGGCTGACGCTTATCCACCTATATTTTCAGCAGAAGAAAGAACTCTGTGTATTAATTTTGATTGTAAATACTTTAAACTACTTGTGTGTTAGATACTTTTCTATTTTTTAACTGATGATTGTTGCAATAAGCTGAAGGCTGGCATTCTGATTTCCCTATCTACGTATGTTTGGTCCATACAATCACGCTCCCTAACTTTATGCTGTTTAACGTTGTAGGAGATATTTTTGGGAAACTTTAGAAGTGGAACAGACTTGAATATTGTTCTGACAATATTCAAAGCTTTCACTCCATGCAAAATTAAATGTAGCTTTGATCTTGAGGCACCAAAGTCTGTGTGTGTGTGGGTGGGTGTGTGTGGATGTGTGTGTGTGTTGGGGGGAAAGGGAAGCAGCACTGGCAGGAACAGAGTGTATGTTTTTGTCTGTGTCTGAAATGGTGTCGGGGAGGAAGAGAGTTGTAAATGTCGGTTTCCGGAGCTAAACTAGCACTCTTGTTTATTTCACACAGGGAGAGGTAGAGCTGTGTATGATATCCATTTGTACATGTGTGTGGGCTGTGTGTTTTGTGTTCAGTGCTGCTGATTACTGACATTGTGATGATCATCTATCCTTTTCTCTAAATCAGATGTACTAGAAATGCTGCTGTTATCCCTGCAAGAATAATGATTACACATTTCTATGTAACCTATGTTATATAGACATTTGTCTTTTGTGCCCAACTACTTTTTGTACTGTTTACAATTCATTGTTCTATGTCTGTGCACAATGCTTAATGAAAGTGTTTGTTGAACTAAAGTTGTATTCAGCTTTTTCTTTTCATGGAAGTTGTTATTTTGGGTTTTCCTTGACCTTCCAGTTTGCATGTCACAGAACAGCCTGCTGTGCTTTTTTGACAAGATGCTGATTGAGTGAAGATACCGCCCACTACCGTTTTCGAACCACAGTTAGCGGGTTTTGTCACAACATCAGAAACCCACAATACGCTTACAAAAGAATTCATATGTAATAGAGACACAAAGACTGATATACGCCCTATGTGAGCACACGCAGCTCGGTCACTGGGCCTGAATGTCCCTTCTCTTCTTTGACGTAATTATTGTAACCATGTTGCACCACATGTACACAGCTTTGTTTTGTACAGAATATGCATATGTGAGCATGCAAATCTTTCTCATTCAGTTCAGTGTTGTAAAAAAATACTAACTGCAAGTCAGTGTCTTTAACATGATTACATTAACTTGACCATAACAACATTAAAGGAAACGTCTGTGTGTGTGTGTGTTTGTGTATGTGTGTATGGCATATTTTGAGAGAAGGCCCCAAGCAATTTTTTGTCAGAAAGAATCGATGGTTTGCAAAATGCCCTACCATAAGACGGTTGGTATACAGGTATACTTTTCAGTATACCCACCTTCCTACAAAAACCCTATGTGTGTTTTTGTGTTGCAGAAATTTCTAACCTCCTGGTGGTGACTAAAGAAAGAGCCTTGGTTCCTCAGACGACGGTGCAAGAGAGTCAACTGAGCTTCCTTCGTATTCTCAAGGAGGAGATCGAACAGGTTCGTCACTTTCCTGTGTTTTTCTCCAACTTGAGACTGTTTCTGCATGACAGTACATCAAATTTAAGTCTCTGTAATTTATTAGCACTTCCTATGAAACTGACCGCAGTGATAAAGGAGGGAAAACCCTATTTCTGCTTGATAAAGTGACACATTCGTTGGCAAAAACACCACAGAAGCCCAGTCTTGTGATATTAATCCATTTACCTTTTCATCAGGAGGAGCATCTTGGCTTGGGCACAAAAACCAACATCTATGCTGGCACTCTGAAGGTGAAGAGTGTAGATGATGAAGATGCGGGGTATACGTCTTTCCAGGAGTTCAAGGTGGTCCTGAAGGTGCTGGGTTCTGGACACAGGGATATCTCCTTGGTGAGACCCAATCTCATAATAAGAAACTAATTTTACACTCACTTTACTCAACTCTAGCATTTCAATGTGCTTGAAAATAAGAAAACGGACAGCAAGAAGACCCAGGACCCACAAGTGTTGGTTTATCTTACTGGCATTGGTATTGAAGATAACAGGGCCACAGTGATTTGAAAGTTGTTTTTATACTCCAATGACAGCTTTTTGGAATATTATTATATAAGGGAACTGGTGAGGTCAACCACGTCCGTGCTTTTTTAGGCTTCATCTTTAACAGACACTAAACAAAAGTGAATGAATCATACACTGTCTACATCGTAGAAGAAGATGTGTATTTGCTTTAAGATAAAGGGTACCAGGGAGTTTGGACTAGAAATGAAATCCAGGGCAAAGATTGCAACAAATTGTAGCCATCTGTTGGTTCAGCACCATTAAAATCATGACTTTGGAAACTTAGAATAATAAAGATGGCTGCCTCTATGATGGCGTTCTCTTTGAAGCCCTTGAATGAAATGAGCAACATTGCATTAACTCTAAAAATAAATAAAAAAACACGGTGAGGAATAAAGTGTGTTCAGGTAGAGGCCTCTTCAGCTACCTCGTCAAACAAAACCATCAGGAGGTCCTACAGAGTAGAAGCTCATAATGATTGTTAAACAAAATGACATGAACTTAATTCACATTATCGCAGGGGTAGGCTTAATGTTTAAAAAAAAACAAAAAAAAAACAGTTTCTGCTGATCGGCTGTGTTTGTTTTTCGGCTCTCACCTTTGTCTCTGTTGACAGGCATTCTTTGAAACAGCTAGCATGATGCGACAAGTATCTCACAAACACATCGTGCTGCTCTATGGAGTGTGTGTCCGCCACCGGGAAAGTAAGTATATTTTCAGAGAAGTGTGACCAAAGATGTGGTGCTCTATGTCAGCTGCATTGACCCTTGTTCTTTTGTATCACAAGATATCATGGTGGAAGAGTTTGTCCAACTGGGACCACTAGATGTGTTTATGCGGAGACAGCAGAGTCCTCTAAGCACACCGTGGAAGTTCCAGGTGGCCAAGCAGTTGGCCTCAGCTCTCAGCTACTTGGTAAGACCAAAAGTTCTACCACCACCCAAGAGTTTTTTTTTAAGAAGTCAGAACTCCAGGACTTCCTGGACTTTAGAGTAGGTGAATATGTTGGATATGATAAGACAAAAGAATGTGACTCACTTACTGAGTCAGAGTTATTCCCCCAGATGTTGGTCATCGTTCATGTTGGGCATGTGGGTGTGTAACAGACTTAGGACTGCTGCACCCTTTCAGCTAAAATGATATAGAACACTTCTGCCCCCTGGAAATAAACAAAAAGCAAACTGCCAGACATATCCAAGCATTAAGAATGTATTTTAAGAGAATTAAGGCTTAAGTTGCTACATAGTACTGACTTAATTTAGAATCAGTAATAATACTCACACATATCTTTCTCATTTTTTTAAATTGATAGAATTGTATTCTACCACGGGGTCATATTCAAAACTAATAGATACGTTTAAACAATATATTTAAAAAATATCTTGATTATGAAATGTGTATCTTTTCTGTGTGTAATTTAGGAGGACAAAAAGCTGGTCCATGGCTTTGTGTGTGCGAAGAACATTCTGCTGGCCAGAGATGGACTGGTTGCTGATGAAGGGGGACCCTTCATAAAGCTCAGTGACCCAGGGATACCGATTACAGTACTCTCCAGGGAGGGTGAGTTGTTTTTTTTTTTTCTTTTTAACATAGTTTAAATAAAGCTTGAATAATTTCAAATAGCCTCCAATAGAATATTTCACATTCACTTCCACTCTGTCAGCCGTCGATAAAAGAAAATCCAAAATGGAAAAATATGCATTAGTTAAATGGTCATCTTTTGTAAGTCGTCTTAAACAATCTTACTAAAGTTAAACAGTAAAGATACAGAAATGATGCAGAAAGTAATTAAAATCATCCAAATAATTTGATGATATGCTCAGAAATACAGATTGTTGCTGATTGGACAAATGTCCCTCTAATTTTCATCCCCATATATTTTCTTATCCATGCTGCAACAATTTAGTTTGACTGTCGTCTGTTTCCTTACTGTCTGCAAACATTATAGAAAATAAAACTTAATAAAAGAAGAACATTTTCAGTTGAGCAGGAGCTGTCAGTAGAAATCCAATTTCTTACTAAATTACTGCACACGACAGTGGACGCGCTTCTTTCTGAGACTGTAAATCGGTTAGAAAAAGCTAGATGTGGGTTTGGAGAGATTGCACAATGACACATCTCAAATTGCATAGTTCCCCTCAAAAGGCAGCCTCTTGTTTCTGTTGACATTTAGTCCGAAGCTGTGCTGTCAGCCTGTGCTGCTGTACAGGCAGATCTGGCAAACTGCTGGAAGCTTTTCTCTGCAAATGTGCCTGTGGGAATATTCCTGTCTTTCTCTTTGTTCCCAGAAATCTTTATTATTCATTCTTTGGTTTCCATCACTTTGCAGATCAACCCGTCTTTCTGTTACATATCGATGTCCTTTTACATTTATGTGATTGAACGTGGTGCATAAAGTGCTCTGAATCCCTTTGGGACCACTCTTCTCTACTTTCCAGTAATCCAATTGCTTTACTCAAACCTCACATCTTTTCTTCTTTTGCTTATTTTTTTCCCAGCCTAACACTCAATCCCTGCTTCCATTTCTGTCCTCTCAGCCTTTCCCCTTTTTCTCCATTGTTACTTTCTAGCATACATCTCATTTGGTGTTGTGCATGCCTTGGGCTGAAGAGACAGGAATGGTAACAGCGATGTTTTCAGCCCATCTTTGTCAGTCAACACTTTGTCAGTCAACACTTAGATTCCTGTGCAATCATCCAGTCAGAACTTGTTTGCTTGTTCTTCATATTCAGAGGTTGATGTCACATTATTTGCTCACTTTCTTTTCAGAAGAGTATTGAAGCTTTTTTATTTAAAAGAGCAGAGCTTGTAAACAAACTTTATATGTATATAACATGATATATCATAGAGTGAAATTTTATGTTTAATGACATTTTTTTGTGTTTTTTTTGTTTTTAATATGCATAAAGTACATATTGCTTCTAAGTGCAAACTCATTGTCGTTTTCTCCACTCTTCAGAGAGGCTCTCTGTTTTTAACCATCAATATTTACTCTTGATTTTGCTTGCTCCTCTTTTGTTTTGCTGTTGTTGTAATTGCTTTTGTCTTCATTGTTGTTCCTCCCTGTTTGGTTTGTCAGGCTGACTTTTGATACCAAAAAGTTTATGTAGAGTCCTCCTTTCCATTTTCTCAGTTTTTCATATCAAATGCATCTTTTCATGGGTTTTATCTGTAGTTATCTGTAGTTGGACTTCTTTCTTAAAATGAATCTGAATAAACTAAATGTATATAATTGCGTCCATACAGCATCTTTAAAGACTCCAAAGTCAGTTTGTTCTGGGAGGACGTTTTTTATTCTGATTTTTGCCAGCAGTTTTACAAACAGCGTTACATATCCTCTCCCCTGCCCTCTTAAAGCCTCCAGGAATTCAACCAATCAGAACACTCTTCCTTCAAATCCTGTCATTCTAAAGTGGATGCTTCCCAAAAAACAAATGTTTTCCATTGTTCTGAAATAGTTAAGAAGCATTCGGACTTATGCTGAAGAGCTAATGAAGAGTTACAAAAATGTATTAATTGAATGTCTGGGAGGGATTTTGTCACGTCCACTTAAAGTCTTCTTGAAGAGTCTGTATACTAAACAACATGGATGTTGCTCTGTCTGACAAACCTCATTAATGACTTTGAGATGTTGCTAAAGTTCACAACTTTGTTCATGTCTTTAGAGTGTGTGCACCGCATCCCATGGATCGCTCCAGAGTGTGTGAAAAATGTGTCATCCCTGAGTGTGGCTGCTGACAAATGGGGCTTTGGTACCACCCTGTGGGAGATCTGCTATGATGGAGAGGTTCCGCTCAAAGACAAGAAGCTAACAGAGGTGGAGTGTGCACACATTCTCTTCAGTTTCAAATATGTTTGTGTTTTATTCTGTTTTTTTTCTTCTTACTATCTCTATAATGTCCTTTTTTTATGGACACAGTTACTTATCTAATTGTGTACCCCTCTGTCATTGCACTGAGCAGAAGGAGAGATTTTATGAAATGGAGTGCCAGCTAGCCACCCCAGACTGCAAAGAGCTGGCTGAACTCATGACCCACTGCATGAACTACGACCCTAAAAAGAGGCCGTTCTTCAGGGCTATCGTCAGAGATATCGACATGTTGGAGGAAAAAAGTATGTGTGAGACGGATAAATGCAGATCATCCGGACAGTGTTTGTGTGTTAGGATATGGTTGAAACTAAAAAGCCTTCAGCATAGGGTTCCTGCAACTTAATTCCCCATCTTCCAAGTTTTAACAGCCTTTGTCAAAGCAGAATATATAAAAGGGGAAAAATATTAAGCCACAAAGACACTATTGCACAGCACTGGATCATAACAAAAACACCTGCGGTGTTTACAGCCGAAATAGGAGCTGAACGCTTTGCATGTTTTGTATCTCACCTCAAAGACTTGTTTACTCAGCTTGGATGTTCATGAGGAAGTTCACTGGGTGCATTATCAGTTATCTGCCCCTCCTCTGGGCCCCATTGCAGCATCCTCACTTCTTCCACCTGCTGGCATGTTTTGGATACTGCAGTTATGTGACAGATTTTAGATGACTTGACATTCTTCTTTTAATCTTAAAAGGGCAAAAAAATTAACCCAGCCTTTTTTTAAAGGCTCAAAAGTATTTTTTTATATTCTAAGTTCTTCATTATATATCATTGCTTTAGAACAAAGTCTCTCATTCAAAGTTGTTAAAACCTGTTCAGTGAAGTGTTATATAACCACAGAAAATTCTAGTGAAAACACTGTCAACCACAAAGGACTTCCTATGATGCATTTATGGTGAAGAAAAGTCATGTTTTACCCAGGTTGCTAAATGTGTTTGTTTATCTTTCTGTTTCTCAGATCCATCTATCCAACCCAAACCCACACAAGAGGTGGACCCGACTCTTTTTGATAAGAGATTCCTGAGGAGAATCAGAGATCTGGGAGAGGTAAACTATAGCTGTTTTTGAAGCTTTGTGTTAAGCTTATCTTTACCAGATTTTGTTTCAGCATTTCTACACAAAGAACTCAACTCCTCTATTGTTTAACATTATAATTTTATACACTTTATTCGATATATTCTTTTCTCTGGCTTCCAGCTACGCCAGATGTCTCTTGTGTGTAAAATGATTCTAGTCTTTTCTCCCCTTACCAGACAAAAGATAATACTCTAAATGTTCAACTACAACACAGTTGAGTTGTTACGTTGTTTGCATGCAGAACAATGAGATGCATTTTGTTCATGGTTCATTCCAGGGTCACTTTGGTAAGGTGGAGCTGTGTCAGTACGATCCACGGGAAGACAGAACAGGTGAGCTGGTCGCAGTGAAGTCACTGAAGCCTGAAAACCGAGAGGAACAGAGCAACAACCTCTCCAGAGAGATCGACATCCTGAAGGCTCTGTATCATGAAAACATCGTCAAGTACAAGGGTATCTGCAAGGAAGATGGTGAGAGAAGCACACATACCCACAAACACTGAAATGCAGGGTTTTTCTTTTTAGCTAGAATCTGACATCTTCTTTTCAGCACCTTGGAGATTAAATTCATCCAAATCTGACTGCCCTTGTGCAAATCTGTGTGTTTAGGTGATCAAGTTGTTAAGCTGATCATGGAGTATCTTCCACTGGGCAGTTTGAAGGAGTACCTACCGAGAAATAAATCCAAGACCAGCCTGAGCACTCTGCTCAACTACTGCATCCAGATATGCAAGGTCCCTTTTTTCTTTCCTGCTGGTTTTTTACCCATTGGTTTCACCTTAGAAGTGTTCCCGGCTGACTGTCTTTTTAAAAAAAATGTGTTTTAGGGGATGGACTATTTGGGATCTCGGAATTACATCCACAGAGACCTTGCTGCCCGAAATGTGCTGGTAGAAAATGAGAACATGGTCAAAATAGGAGATTTTGGCCTCACCAAGAGCATCAAAGACAATGAGGGATATTATACTGTCAAAGATGACCATGACAGTCCAGTCTTCTGGTGAGTTAAGAGGGGAAAGTAACAACTAAGAACAGTTGGAAAAGTAAATAATTAGCATCACAGTCTTTATAGAATTTTTTAAAAAGGAAGTTCTTTTTCTTTTAGAGATAGAAGTTACTGTATGTGGTTCTGGGATTGCTATATAGGATGAGAACATACAGGAAAAGTTGACTTAATGAACAAGTTTAAACGTGTGGAGCCGTTGGCACATAAACTGTCATTTGCGTTGGTGTTTCAGGTATGCTCCAGAATGTCTGACTCTCTGCAAGTTTTACCTTGCCTCAGACGTCTGGTCATTTGGTGTCACGATGTATGAGCTCATCACTTACTGCGACCCCTCCAAAACCCCCATGACGGTCAGTGTGAAGTTTTAGTGTTGGGGATGTACTTTGCCATTCTTATTGCAAATAATTGATTTATCACTGGTCTAAGTATTTGATGAGGGAGGTGGATGATATTCTCCACCAGCAGGAAATTGTGGTCATTTTTATTTATTTTTTTCATTTTAACAGGGCTTCCTTGATATGATTGGCCGAACTCATGGTCAGATGACTGTCATTCGCTTGGTGAAGCTGTTGCAAGAAGGAAAGAGGTTACCACGTCCTGACGGATGTCCTGTGCCTGTAAGTCATTCATCATCAGCATAACACCATAAAGTTCATAAATGTTGACTTGGGTCTTTTACATGTGTTCTGATAGGTTGTGTTCTTTTACAAAAATAATACCCAAGGGAACAAAATAGACAGTGTTTGCCAGATAATTATTTTTCCATGGATAGCCTTAAACATGGGCAAAGAAAAATCTATTTCTACTAATGTGACAATGTGCCACAAGATCCTTTGAATAATATGTTCATGGAACACCCCTCCATTTCATATATACTCCAGCTTGACTGCATATCTTTGTCAGAACTTTGACATCAGATGTCCACTTTGACAGGTGTATGAGCTGATGCGGAGGTGCTGGGAGCAGGTGCCCGAGAGGAGAATTTCTTTCAGCCGTTTGATCGAGGAGCTGAACACCTTGCTGCAGCATAACAACCAGTAAACGTCCTTTTGCCGGAGGGTCTAGCAGCAAAGCTCACTTTACCTACTGACTTGAGACCAAATGCAAAAGAAGCCACCGGTCAGCTTCTTCTTGTGCATATTTACTGCACATGAAGACTCACCCCATTACGAACCACGAGCATGACATGTGACTCAAGTCTGACCATTTTAGTCTGCCATATTTAATTATTTTTTGTTTTTTTTATTGATGATGGTTATATGAGCCTCCCTGGTCTGAGGTGATTCGTTGGGATATTTGAGGCTCCTTCCAGCAGGCCCAAAATCTAAGAACTGTTTGACTGGAATGGACATTACTGATGGATGTTTGGAAGATGGAAACCAGAGAAAGGAACTTTTTACTTTGACTTGGCTTTAATGGTTGTGTGGCAGCAGTCGAGCTGATCATTGTGAAGTCACACTTTGATGTGTGTGATATGAACGATTGGACAACACCAACATTCAAGCCAGGAAGATTAACCATCAAGTTTTTTTCAATGTCATGGATTTTACTGATGACAACCTAGATTTGTTTTTCACGTTGTGCAGATGCAGCTTCTGTAAAGTGGTTTTGAGTAGAGCCAGTAATCACTCAGCAGTATTTTCCCTTTTCTTTTATCCTCTTATCGGGTTAACTGGTTTTAAAAGTTTTGAAGCAAGAATGGCATTCACTCTCAGCATACCCCCTGTAAATATGATTTAGATTGGATAAAAATGTGAAAATTCATTAATGAAACTGAGCCATTTTTCACTATTTGATTTTTTTTTAAGGCAAAACCAACAAAATGAAAAATTATTGTAAAAAAGAATGAACCCCTATGGAAGGGAGCTGTTGAAGCTGCATTTGCACAGGAACAGATTTTTTAAACTTTATTTCTACTTCTGTCTGATATGTACACATTTAAAGCCAGGAATAGTTTAATCTCTGTATATATGCCTATTCCCTATGGCCAGAAAGCAAGGTAAGGTGGTATACGGAATTTAAGGTGAGAAGAATCTAAGAGAAGGTTTCTTTTATGTAGTGAAAAACTTCATTTGCATAGCCAAAAACTTGCATTACTGTGACCCAAGGGTCTCCTTAAAGTGACTGTAAATGTGTGACATTGTCAAAAGGAAAAAGATTAATTTCAGTCCGCATTTTATTCAGGTATGTAAAAAACAAATCATTCTACTCTAGAGAAAATGGAGAGAGATATATGATTTAAAAAAGAGCCATGAATACACAATAGAAATAAAGAAAATTCATGTTTTTTAGCCTAGTGATGTTAACTACTGAAAGCATTTTATTTATTACAGCTGGAAGTAGGCATGCTAAAATAGCTATAGAAACATAGTTTTCACTGTAAAATCATATTAATCTCAGTGATGGAAAATGTAGCTAAATCTACATTGTATTTCCGCTCAGGAAAAAAAAACCCAACACATACTTAAAACGTAAAGCGAAAACATTTTACAGATCTCAAAACCCAGCAACACCTAAATTACCCTATAAAATGATCAACCCCTAAAGGACACAGCAATGGCCTGAAATGAGGTGGATAATACATACATGCATTACTTGGTGAAGGTTGATGTTAAAGTTTTATATGTTTGCTTTTTGTTTAGAACCGTTCATGACCTTCAGTTCTTTTCGCAGCTCGAACGCTGTGTGAGCAGAGCATCTCCTCATGCCCGGTTCACACAGCTGCCGACCAGCCTCTCGCTCTCACCGACAGACCTTTCTTGCTAAAATAAACACATAAAGGCAATTATATTGTTCCTGTCTTATTAAGACTTTTAAAACAAAATGCAACATCGGGATGCCAAAGGAACTCAAAGACTGGCAC